CATCATCCCATGTTTTCCTATTCCAGGTTGAAAGTTTGCATTGTCACCTTGACCTTAAGTTACGAGAGTATGTATATATATATATATATATATATAACGAGATGCAGAATCTTCTTCAATAAGTGTTTTCCTCAGGAGTGGTTGGGATAGCTTGCTGGGATAATATGGGATAGTGTTTAAGAAAAATGATGCGCAAAGGGCGGGGTATTGTTTTATTGTGTCTTGCAAAAGCTTGGTCCTGGTGAGGCCTGGTGAGGATCCGGTTCCGCCCAGCGGGCAGAACCAGACCCTATGCTTCGATGTCAGACCCGGTGAATCGGGGTCCGGTGTGGGGTCCTTGGGTCCGGTTCCGCCCAGCGGGCAGAACCAGACCCCACACTTCTCACATTCCGCCCTGAAAATGCTTGCATATTCGGGTCTGGTTCTGCCCGCTGGGCGGAACCGGACCCAAGGACCCCACACCGGACCCCGATTCACCGGGTCTGACATCGAAGCATAGGGTCTGGTTCTGCCCGCTGGGCGGAACCGGATCCTCACCAGGCCTCACCAGGACCAAAAAATTTGCTTCGATTCAAAATTAATATAAATCCTTTGTAATTATTTTTCAAAAATGATTAGAAATTGATTTTGAAGCTTGCCCCTATTAAAAAGTTCAAAAATTTAATATAAAAAAAGCCCTCGATTCAAAATCAGTTCCAATCCTAATCATTTTCAAAATGTGTTCAAAACATTGCCCAAAATTGATTCTGAAGCTTACCCCTAATAAAAGTTCAGAACCTTCATATAATAAATAAATTTGCTGCGATTCAAAATCCAGTCAAATCCTTGTCAAACTTTGTTTGAAAAATGAGGGGACCCAACTATAAAACATTCGTGATCTTTTTATACTTCATGGAGGGGGTGTTTTTTTATCATCCCCATAGGATGAGATGAAACAAGAGATCATAATAGATCATAATAGATCATAATCATCTGTGGGGATGGGTTATTGATCTCACATTGCTCCAAAAAGATGAAACCAGGCTCACCAGGCTTTTTATTGGGGGTCAGTTGAGGCTTCGATGCAATGAACTATGATGAACTGATGAACTCGTTGATTTCCAAATTGAGGCCAAGAACCAGGAATATGACATAGTGACCAAAACAGAACTCGAGGAAGACGCGGAGTAACCATTGCCCCCAAAAAGGAACAACAATCTAGCAATATCTAGCAAACATCAGGACATCACTGATATCACCTGAAGGAGTTAGCCTTGGGGAGGGCATCCAGCTATATCCAGCCACTTGGCAAAGATTTCGTCATGGGATCCGCGAAGATGCACCACCGGGTTGAAATACCAACATCTTGGTAGAGGATTATAGGTCCTACACACACAAAGACCATACAGAAACCATACAGAAACCCGGGCGCTGGGAGCTTGTCCAAAAAATTGGGTCAAGAATTCATAGCATCCTGTGGTGGTTAACCAAGCAGTAGCCAATTGAAAGGTGAAGGTTGCATCATGAGGAATGGATCAGTTCTGATTCCTGGAGGTTGTAGCCTCTCATGATAAGACTGTAAATAAAACACCACAGTTGATAGATGTTGATAGCCTATTTGTTTCAGCTCACTCCCAGCAATAAAAGGAAAAGTTCCATTGGAAGTCAAGGCCTCATGTTTGTGATCTGTAGTCCCCGTGGCAGGTTCAGCGAGCGCAGAAGTTTGCACACCTGTTTGCTCAGATGGCCGTTCCTCAGCTCACCGTTGCCAATGGAAAATAATCTGGTAGTCTTTCAGTTCTCCTGAACACCAAATTAAAATATTCACTGTCTGTATCAGTGGGGAAAGTTTCCGAGAAGTCTAAGCCTCTGAGTCCTTAAAGACTGCCAGCTTAAAAAATAAATGCCCTGCATAAATGTGATCACTTAACTAGATTAGGACTGTAGGTCCTTCATAGTTCTCGACAGAGTATGGGACTTGATCCATTGTCCTCTGTGCCACACAGCGCAATGAGCGGATGGACGCCGATGCCCCTGCAAAAAGTCACCGAAGAACTGTCCTGCAGAGTCGTTGCCAGCCAACTGATTTGAAAAACACGGCAGACACCAAGCCTCCCTGAGTCATCCCAGAAGGGCCAAGTCATCCCAAGATATCCCAAGTCTCTAGGTCTTTGCGCAGAAAACCTTTCACCTGCTCAACCCGCGCTCCAATGGTAGTGTGCCCAACACGTATGCCAAGATTCGCAGTGGCACACATAGATAGAGTATTTCTCGTTCCAGACCGCGGGCCGCATTTTGCCGATACCTCGGCCACAAAAATAAAAACACTCAACTGGGTCCGCTTGAGGAGCCCCATGCACCTGGCAACCTCTAACACAAAGCAGAAACACCAACAAACTAGCACTAAGAATCAGCATGCTCAACAAACAACATCTTTCCGCATCATCCCGCATCATGTCAAATCTGCAGGTGTAAGGCGTCAAAATCCTCCAACAAAAGAATGAAAAGGGTGAGTGACAATTCAGATATAATTCTTTCCATGTCTTTCCAGTGCCCAGCTGCATGTTGGGAACAAGAAATGCGCTGGTTGCTGCCGTGGTTTCTCCAGAGCCATTGCTCTAACGGAGGCGCTGCAAATTAATCCAAATATCCCTTGAGTTAGATTTCTGAACCGGTCACCAAAAATTCATCCAACTAAATTAATCCAATGAAATTAATCCTGGAACTGACGGGGGTATCTGTATTAGTTAGCTAAGGTGCCACCCATGGCATTTTGCCACCCCAAAAAAATTGGCAGCCAAACGCTGCTGCGGTTCTATGCAATCACTCCACAAGGTAAAGCTGAACGTATCAAAATATTGATTTTTTGCTATAGTCCAACAATTGGTAGCCAACAATGCTGGCACACCAACGATATAAAGATAGTGATTGTTTACGCATGTTGGCCTTATCAAGTGGAAATTGGAACAGGAATAAACACTGGATGTATAGAAATTGGTTCTGGTGAGTTTGCGCCCCCCCCAAAAAAAATGTACGGAATCATATGGTAAGCCTTTGAGAAATGTACGGAAAAGTATCGTACATTAGCTAGGCCCCCCCCAACCGTACATTAGCAAAGGGGGGAGGGATCTACGCATTATGCGCAAACGAGCCAGGAGTTTGACGCGGCTGGTGTCCCCTCGCCCCCGGTGCGTGCCCGTAGACCATGCTTTTGCGATTTCCTTGGCGCGGCGTCGGGCCTGCATACATCTGTGTAGGGTGTCTCGCCATTGGGCACCGGTATCGGACAAGATGCCCCCTACATGACGGACGGAAGTGTGGGCATGGGGGGGGTCCCGGCGTTGTTCAGGAGGGGTACCTGGTTTGAGAAGAAGGGTTTCGGTTTTAGCGCGGTTGAGTTTTTCGCCCCAGTCGGTGAAAGTTTGTTCGAGTAGACGGTCGGCGGTGGGGAATTCGGCTTCGGTTGCAATGGTGGCGGTGTCATCGGCAAATTCGAGATCTCCGAAGATGTGTATTTTATAGTTGCGTTTGTTAGCCCTGGGGGTTGGGGGTTCAGATTTTGTATGCACAAATCTAAAAACATAGGGGGGGGGGCCCTACAAAACCAGAAACATGTCATTTGAACATGAACATCTTCAATCTACAAAATCTTAACATGCAACCCCACCTGGCCTTACACCTGTCACCCCCTCCAAATCTACAAAATCCAAATCATAGAAATCCATCTGCTATATAAAGGCATTAAAAATTGATTCACAAAACCTTTAAAAATTGTCTCAGAAAAAATGCATTTTGTAGAGAAACCAGTGTTTTAAGTATAAAAATCAGCTTGATTCACTTGTTGATTTTGTAGAGGCCCTGATTTTCCATGATTTTCCTCTGCACGCTGGCTTCATCTGTTTTTTTGCGCTGCTCTTTTGTCTTTGACTGAAGTTTTCACCACGCTCTGCAATCTTCAGATTGCTTCAGCATAGTGTCCCGCACTTCATCCCCGTTTGGTACTGTAGATTGTAGATCCAAAAAGAATACCCCCAAAAAATGACCTGGGGGGGGTTGGGTGTCCCCATTTTGTAGAGCCAAATCTGGCTTTTGGGGCCCCAGACCTCTACAGAATGAATGAGGAACCTGCCACAAATCTAGGGGTTTTCTCTACAAAATCTGGGCACCCAACCCCCTGTTTTTTGGTGCACGTTTGTGATTTTCACAACCACTGGCCTCTACAAAATGGGAAGCCTGGCATGAGCAAACATTTAAGCAGAATTACTACTTGGAAGCAAGAAAACCGTCAAAAATACAAAGGTCCATTTTGTAGAGGGATGATGTGAAAGAACCTTGGTCTCCCCGTCTCACCTGAAATTTTTGACATATACAAAAATCCATTTTGTAGAGGCAATTTCTGTTCCGCATTCCAGATTTTGTAAAATCAATACAATTTGTCAATATTTATGTTCATGAATGTTGACAAACCCCGAAACCTCTACAGAATGAGGAACCTACAGTTTCAGCCATCTACAACATGTATCAAAATGCTCCCACTACAAAATCAGGAACCTGTCATTGCACACCCTTGCAGGCACTTAGGCTGTCCAAAAAAATTGTTTTGACGGACCTCTACAGAATGAGGAACCTGCCACAAATCTAGGGGTTTTCTCTACAAAATCTGGGCACCCAACCCCCTGTTTTTTGGTGCACTCCCCGTCTCACCTGAAAACCCTGAAGTGTACAAAAATCCATTTTGTAGAGGCAATTCCTGTTCCACATTTCCAGTTTTTGTAAAATCTATATCATCTGATAAAAAGATCTATGTATGTCTCCACATCAACATCAATGCCATTCAGTTCCAAAATTTCAATGCCACAGAAAATGTGGAATCATACATGTCAACTATTTTTGAAACCAAATGGAACCATATGAAATCAACTGAAATCATGGTCCAGCCCATTTCCCTACAAAACCAGAAACATCCGACAAAATCTAAACCATGGCCTTAAACTCCTGAAAACCAAAAACACTACAAAACCAGAAACATCCAAAAAGTAATCCCAAATATCAGCCCAAAAATGGCCTCCTACAAAATCTCAATCAGCTTGAGGAGCATTCAAGATACCATCACATGACTCTCAAAAAAATGGTTTGTTTCAAACGTCAACGTGCTAGATTTTGTAGGGGAAATAGGTGGGACTATTGTATTTTGCTGTTTGTTTGGGCTTGGTATGCCGTACGTCGGCGGGTAAGTTTGCCGTCAACGAAAATTTTCCATTGTATACCAGGTGTGATTCCGGCGGCTGTGGCGGATCTTTTGCGTCGCGCGCGAAAGTCGTGTAGAACTGCTTGATGGTAGAGGTTGAAAAGTGGAGGAGAGGACGGACAGCCCTCTTTTAGGCCGCGGTCGGCAGCTTTATATGGAACTGTGTGTGGTTGTGTAGGGCCTTACATACCTGCAGGAAGGGTAAGGGGGCGCCTCGCTTTTGTAGAAGGGACCATAGCGCTTCACGGTTTATGCGGGGATACGCTTTCTCGATATCGTACAAGGTTAATTTCACATTGTCAGTGCCGCGCGAGCTGCAGATTTCTTCGGCAATTCGCCGACTCACTTGCAGAACATCGTCTACCCCCCGATTCCTGCGGAAGCCTTGTTGTTCCTCGTCCATGAAGGATTCAGAGAATTGTTGTATACGACTGGCGACGATGCGGGATATCAATTTTACTCCGATTGAGAGGAGTGTGACTCCTCTCCAATTATTTTTGTTGCTTTTGGGGTGTTTTTGTTTCCACAGGGGGATTACGGTGGCTTGCATCCATGATTCTGGCCAGTGAACGGTGGCTGTGTCGGGCGGGGCGCTACAGGTGGTGTTCCAAAGGTGTTGGGTGAAAGTGAAGAGGTTGTCCATGACTTGTTGGGGTGCCCATTTAAGCATCTCGACAGTGACACCGTCGTCTCCGGGCGCCTTTCCGATTTTCATTTTCGCAAGCGCGCGCGTCAGTTCGGGTGTCGTGGGGGTGTCATTAAGCCATTGTGCTGGGATGGGGTTAATGGGTACGCTGTCCCAGACACGTTCGGCCACGGGGACGGCTCCATTTTGTATTTTGCTAAAATGATCCTTCCATGATTCAGCTTCAGCGAAAGGGTTGCGGCTGACATTGCGCAGGGAGCTGCGGGTGCTGTTGGCTTTGCGAACCTTAAGCTTAGAGAAGAGGGAGTAAAGGGCGTAGGTATCGCCGCGTGTTTCGGCATCTTCGGCTTGCTGTCCGATTGTGTGCCAATAATCGCGTTCCCATTGTGTGAAGAGTCGTCGTTTTACTCGTTTGGCTGTATTGAGCGACTGTTTGGCGAGTTGTTGTTGGCGCTGTGCGTCGGGGTTGTATGGCTGGTCGCGTGCAGCTTGGGTGCAAGCGATGAGGTTGTGTTTGGCAGTGGAGACGTGTGAATTGAGACGTTTGATCTCATTTTGACGTTCTGCGCACCAGGGTTTACCCCCTTGAGATTCAGTGAATCCAAAGACCTCGGCGGACGTCGTTGTAAGTAAGGATGATGCGATTTCATCCCATGTTTGACAGGGTGTGTGTGTTTGGATTTTGTGGGTGATGGCTTGATGAAATTGCGTACGTAGCGCGATTGCCTGTTGAGATTTGCCACGGGCCTTGTACGTGGCGGGGCAGGGGGGGAGGGTGCGGTGTCCAAAAATGCCTTTTGGCGGGGCCATTTTGATGGTTATCTCCACTGGATTGTGATCCGTGTATGGTGTCCATTCTCCTAAATGTGCTGTCCTGGCGACGTCAGGGGAGATAGTGAGTACCCGATGTGTGTTGCCGATGTGCGCGTGTGGAATAAGAAAAAAGTCGATGAGGTGTGAAGTTCCAAAGCGGGGGTGCCACCAAGTGGCCTTGGTGCGTTGTGGCGTCCATGTGTTGGCGACGGCCAAGCCATGTTCGTTGCAGAATTGGCACAGTTGAAGGCCGCGGTTGGTCCGATGGCTAGGGCCATGCGGACCGAGGGCGTTTCCTGTTTCAGGGGATCGGGTACCGACTTCTGCGTTGAAATCCCCCGCGATAAGGAGGGTAAATCGCGGGCGGACTTTGGCTATGAGGGTTTCCAAGTTGGTGTAGTATGTGGCATGGTCTTCAGGTGAGGCGTTGCTGCTGGGGGCGTAGGTGATGATGATAGCGACTCCTAGTCGTTGAAAACATGGTATGTGGACGAGCATCATCCGACACTGTTGGCCGTTGTCATCTATGTGTATATGGGGAGGTTGCTATGCTGCCATGCATTGGACCAGCGTTCATTAAGGGCCAATGCTACGCGGCCGCGGCTGAGGATGGTCCAGTTGGGGCGGGTCTGGTTGTGAGTGCCAAGTGTGTGGGATGGGCCCAGTTTGGTGTCCGTGAGGACTAGTTCCCATTTACGGAGGTCCCAAATGTCCATGAGAACATTTAATTTGAGATCTTGGTCAATGTACTGTAACCTGTGGTGGCTCCGAGTTGACGTGTGTTCCATGTGCCCATTACAACTAAACGTTTGGATTGTCGTTTAAATTGAGCACGACGTACCCATTTACCCTGACTGATTCGTTTTCGTTTTTGTTCCTGTCTGAGTTTCATGCGCGAGACCCGACGGAGAACGGATCGGGCTGCGGAGGGTTGATGGCGGCGGAGAGTCATGTTGGGGAGCTGAGTGGTGGAGTGACGGAGGTTCCGGAGTATTAAGGGTGTGTGTGGGAGTGTGTGTAACAAAAGTATCCGCAGCAACTCGAAGCAACTGAACCTGCTCAATAATTTCAATCAACCAGTAGGAAGTGGATCACGACTTAAGGGGTGCATCATTGAACCAAGCAAGGAGAAAGCGGTTTGGGCCAAAGAGCAAGAGAAGAAATGAAAAATAAGAGGCTTTGTTGTTCACGAAAACGTAACCACATGGGAACCAAGTCTAATGGGGCAATGTTAGAGGAAATGATGTTGTACACCCGCCACGTGTACGTGAGATGTCGGTGCCCACCCGCCACCTCCGGACGGTGTCAGAGAGCAAGGGAAGAACGTAAGCCAACGAGTCCCCAGGTTGACAAAGTTCCAACGCCCCCGCTGCTCGTGCTTAGACCCCGCCCTTATTGCATCTCCCCCTTGTGCGTGCTGCACAAGCGCCCCTAGTAGGGGAGTGGGGTTGGCCCTGTTCGCCCCATACCGGAAAAAGAAAACATTTGTACCGGTTGGTTATCGGGTAAGGTATGAGGACCGTGGATGTAGAAGACGGTGAGCGGAGTGGGTAGGAACACTGTGTGTCCGGAGTGTATGCGCGCGGTGTAGAGGTGAGGTGTGAAGAAGGAGTTTAAAGACAAAAATCTAGAGGCCTCCGCTCTTCGAGTGAATGGACCACCCATGTTAGCGAACAGGTTTCCAGGGAGCACCGCGTGGAGGTTTGATGCATGCTCAGTCAGTACTTGGTCCCTAGTACTGATCCTCACTGTGTGTCAACCCTGGGTCCAAGTTGACAATTCGTCGAGGTCGTTCATGCGTCTGTTTTTTCCGTGTACGCTGGCACTCAGTGAAAATTCATCCGACTAACAAACAGGTGCAAAAGTGACATCAACTGAAGAAGTGACGACTTCACCTTAGTTCCGCTTAGCAGAATTGAAAAATTCCTTTGAGGAATTTTTTTTTGTCCCTTGCAGACCTGTACGAGAAAATAACTTGTTTGCTTTGCAACGAGTTTCCAAAATATCTGTATCATAATTGGTTCCATATGACAATGGTGGGAAAACAGAATTCTAAGTTATTTCCATTTAAAATGTTGATGATGACTGAACCAGCTAGCCAGGTGACTTGGTGATTTTAACCCGATTATTATTGCATATTTTCATGTAACTTTATCCCAAGTCAGGTTTCAACGAGAAAAGGCACAAGTTTGCACGAGATTCCAAAATAAGTCTTCTAGGTCTAGCGCCGCTGCTTTTTTCAACCCAAGCACAGGTTCCATGTCTGGAACTTTAGCTAATCAATTTTTAAATTCTTTGGCCGAGGCAGCCAAAAGAATGACTGCAGCTAAATTTGGCCAAGCCGTTGGACCCTGAGGCCGAGGCAGCCTTTAGGGCAAACCTCTGATGTTTGGACGTCGTTATTTTCAGTAAACCACCGCATGCCTTTGCGCTGGATCATCTCTTGGCGAGCTTGAAAGCCAACTTCCAAACCTTTCTCGATCGACACTTCTTCAAATAGTTGTATTTGTTCATGAGCAAAAGGGGTGGCATTTTAGTCTAACAAATGGTTCTGGATTTGGCGCATCGGCTTCGTAAGGACAGGAGCTGCTGGCTTCTTTTGCTTTGGGGCTGGCATGCCAACATGACGACTGACAAACGGTTATATATTATTTTGCTTTAGTCCAAACACGGCTGGGGAAATCCCAGATTTGACCCTTTTGATTCTTGCGTGTGATTGTCGTCTGTGTGTGTGTGCGCGTGCATGCATGCGTGAGGTAGCTGCTGAAGCGAAACACATGCAGGAAACCTTTTTACTCCCGCTCGCACGCTGTCAAAATTTCGGCAACCCATGGCCGTGTCAAGTGATTTTGAAATCTTGGCCGTGTCAGCCAATGTTTTCTTCGCCGTCATTCAGTGGATCCCAAATGTCTTCTTCTTCCTGCTCCTGCTCCTCTTGGTCCTCGTCGGCATCCTTGTCTTCGCAGCCGCCCGCGTCCTCCTGGTCCATTTCAGCGGCCTTCCTTTTCTGTCCTTTTGCCTTTCCTTTTGCTTGTGCTTTTCCTTTGGATTTTGGTTTTGGCTTGGGCTTCGGAGTCGCATTCGAATTCTGCGGGCTGGCCGAGTGGAATGGCTTCTCTTTTCGAGTAAACCAATTCACCTTTGAAATGATTTTCACCGCATCTTCGCCATGCAGCCTGCCACAAAAGCAGGAAAGCCCATGCTCCTTCCATCGTCGCCTTGTAGATGTCCTCGCCTTCGTACTTGAAACTCCCATACTTGGTTATAAGACGCCACCGCAGTCGATACAAAGCATGGGCGCCCACCCTGACTCCATAGGGTTTGGCATACCCCCAGACCGAACCAGTCTGTGAGGTATATTCCAGGCAGAAACAGCCTGTGATAGCAGGCCAAGTCAGCCTGGGACGTTTCAAGGTTTAAGCCGAAACAGCTTATTACCTTTACACACTGTGTAGCCTGTGAGCCGAAAACAACGAGAAACGACTTGAGTGAGGCTTCTAAGGAGAGGGCTAACAGTCCTCTCCTTAGATGCCGCACTGACAGCAGCGAAGTGTGTAAGGAGAGGGCTGTGAGAGGACTATTTGAAAAATGCTGTTTTGCTTTAAGGAATTTTTTCAATAGTCCTCTCACAGCCCTCTTCTTACACAGCTCACTGACAGCAGCGCGGCGTTTAAGGAGAGGACTAACAGTCCTCTCCTTACACCACCGTTTTTGTAAATTCAAGGACAGCAGCGAATTACAAAATTACGTTTTTTAGGTTTCGTTCTGCTCAACGGAATTTTTTTTCCGAAATTCAAGGACAGCAGCGAATTACAAAATTACGTTTTTTAGGGTTCGTTCTGCTCAACGGAATTTTTTTTCCGAAATTCAAGGACAGCAGCGAATTACAAAATTACGTTTTTGAGGGTTCGTTCTGCCGAACGGAATTTTTTTCGAACAGATTTATATTTCAAGCTTCGTATAAAGCATTGTTCAGTTCATGTTTGTGCCTCCGAGGATTGCTTTGGATTATTTGGTTTGAATTTTCTGAACGAGTTTTTTGAAATTTTCAAAAATGTTCGAACTTCAAACTGCCGAATCCTTAACGACGACCAGTCGAATGGCGAATTTCAAAAAAATACCGAAGGAGAAAAAAATCGAATGACGACGACACTTTCTACATTTCCAGAGATAAATGTCTCAGACATTCCTGTGCATATTTTTTTGGGGGACAGCCCTGCATCATTTGGCCGAAGCAGCCAAAGGATCCTAAAAAACAGCATCATTTGGCGTTGACATGACGTCTATAGTTTTTAAAGGAACAAGGAACTTCGCTCTGGTAACAAGTATAAGTGAAATATCAAAGACAGTCAAGCCAGGAAAACAAAGCCAGTCAAAAAATTGGATCCTTGAAGCGCCTTTATTTCACGCGGCCCCATGTCAAGCGTGACGATGAATTAGACTTTGGCCGAAGCAGCCAAGCTGGCCGATGCAGCCAGTCCAGCTGAAACTGACTAGCAAGGAATTGTTTTTTCTCGCTGATCAAGCCTGCGGCAAACATGGCTTCCTGCATGATTTCTCCTATCAGTGGCACAGGAACACTATTGCCTATCATTTTACAAAGGTCTTTCTCCGACACATAGTCAAAACAAGCTTCTGATGCTTCATAAAGTTTTCCTTTTGAATGCCAGCTTCTGATGTCACTAAATATTGCGCAAGATTGCCCATGCAACCTGCTGACCGACAAGCTTTGCAACCGATTCCCCATGGTTCGTCTTGCTCGTCTAGCCATGACCCCAAGCTGACATTAGAAGTGTCTAAAGGAAAGCTGCTCTGCCATTTTGCTCCCAATTTCCTCCATTTCCGCCTGGCCAACAGCCCCGTCGGCTTCAGCTGTCACTGCCAAGCCTTCAAGGAAAGCCGGAGCAGCTTTGCCTTGAAGATTGGGTGCAAGGGAAGCTGTTACAGCTTCACCTTGAAGGGGCAAGCTAGGTTTCAAGAGCCAAGAGCAAAGGTCAAACGAGGTTTTGAATTATTTTTTCCTCTTGGAAAATATCTCCATGATCTGGTCAACAAGATTCTTGTTCTTAAACATGGCACTATGAAATCAATATCCATTTGCTCAGTTTCTTCCAAGATGGACAATGTGGATGTGGGACAAGGTTATTATGAAAGTATATTGAACGTGACGTAAAGGTACGAAGTAGAATTACGAGAGCAAACGAGAAATGAAAATAAGTTTAAAAGCAACAAACGAGAGGAAACAAAACACAATAAAAATGACAAAGAAAAATTCCAAAAAAGAATTTTTCAATTCCGCTTAAGCAAAGCCAAGTCACAGTGACCCTATGCTAAGATCTGTCCCCATCCTGCGGCCTGCGGCTGGCACTTTGGAAATTGCTGCCAAACCATTTGGCACGTCGTCGTCGTCGTCGTCGTCGTCGTGTGCAGTTGCGCTGCAGAAGCAGCCTGCGAGTGTCCTCTATCAACAGTCACCACAAGGAAAACAGGTCATGCAGGTGGTGACATGTAGCTGGCATCATGTCCGAGCAATCTCCAGACAGGAACCCGGGAAGGGAACACGACCCAAGGAAGGGAGAGAGAGGGAGAGAGAAAGAGAGAAGGAGGGGGTGAAGGGGGGGACGAGACCCTAAACTTGCGAAACAAAAAAAAAAACAAAGCAACTCGAACGTCCGAGTTGAGTGATATCGAAAGTGAGAACAGGTGACATGTACAAAAAAAATTGGGAACCTGAAAAGATGTAAAACCGCGTTCGGGGGTTAATCTTCATTTATCTTCTGTTGAGGGAATGCTCTGTCACGATCAGCAATTTTGGCCCTTCAGTCCGCGGGTTGTCCTCATTGCGCTGCAGGAGCGCCCCCCGAGGCAGTCGAAGCGGTGAAGGAGCAAGTCCGTGGTCAGTAGGATGGTCAGGTAGAGATTCTTGGAGCTGGAGTTCCTGCTCAACAACAGGTCAGCAGACAGTAGACCGGAGCGAAATCCTCTGTCTCCGGTCAAGCTACCTTTTTTTTTTCAACAATGCCAGTGAAAGAAAAGGATTCCGTTGGAGAAAAGAGATAACCGTCACTCAAGTTACCCAAACATCGGCCAGAGTCAGCTCTTGTAGAACAAAAAGGATTAGGTGCTGCTCAACATCTACAGTTGTTTTTCCCCCTCAAGCCAAGTTGTATCCGCGTCTACAGCAGCCTACCGTCGGCTTCGACTTCTATATAGGTGGCGACGGTTCCCATTGCCGTCTTTCTTAGCCTTGCGCTGCATCTCTGCTTGGGTGAGGGGAATCCAGCATTTCATTATGAGGTCTTCGCGCTGCTTGAGCTTGGGGGAGAGATGGCTCTTTACCAACGCGTGCATACGGAAAGCAGCCAAGCTGGGACGCATGCGAATGTCGATTGACTTTTCATCCGGCCATCTCCCCCCTACCGGGAATACCCCCAGGAGCCAAGGCTCCTGAAGACACTCCGCCAGTTCCCCTTTAATTTTGGCGTCATTGGGTCCAAACAAATCCTGCATATAGGGTCCTAAGGAGTGCAACATAAGATCCCCAACCTCATGTTTAAGACGCCAGAACTCGCGTGAGCCCCTGGAAATTTCGTGGCATCGGTTCGAGAGCTTTTCGAATCCGGAGACTCGAAAGCGGAGGACTTGGTCCCAACCTTGCAGTCTCTCACTTAGTGTCTTCATTTGGCTTTCCAGGCTCTCGGTCGCAGGCGCATTCATCTTGTGCTCACAAAAGCGTAAGTGGTCGGCGAGCTCTCTTTGTCTGATACTTGGATGGCTATCGGGCGGCGATGTATCACATGCGAAAGCGTGAGTACCCCTGCATATCAGTATACTTGCTCCTATCTACCTCGGAACCCAGAGCAGCACTTGATACACTTAACCAACATATAACCACCTTTTTTTTTTTCCCGTCCGATGGTTGTCCTGGATGCCGTGATAGTCAACCGCCCAGACCAAACAAAGCTTTGCAGCATCATCGCCATAGAGATGAGCATTGAAAAGTACATGGAGTAGGTGGCAGTGATCCTGATTGCCAACAGGGTCGCACAACACGAACCGTTACCCCCAGCCACTTAGTGATCTGCCCTGTCAGGGTTGTCAGAGGTGCTCGATCTAGAGCTTTACCAACTAGAGCAATTCGAACATTAAACCGTCGGAACATTCAACACGAAACAAGGGTGTCAACGAATACATTCTCCTCTAAGAGTGCTGCTCCAGGGCATTGTTAAGCATCTTAATATAAAGGAGTATATCTTTTCAAATGTATCGTAATCGTCCCGCTAGTCCTTTCTTAGCTGCCGCTGCATCTCCTTTTTTTTTTGTTAGGGGAATCCAGCATTTCATTGTGAGGTCTTCACTTTGCTTAAGCTGAGGGGAGAGAAGGCTCTTTACCAACGCGTGCATACGGAAGGCAGCCAAGCTGGGACACGTGCGAATATCTATTGATTGTTTCATCCGTCAACTCCCCCCTACCGGAAAAAAAAAAACAAACCCAAGAGCCAGGGCTCCAGGAGTCACTCTGCCAGTTCCTCTTTGACTTTGTATTCTTGTATCGAAACAAATCCTACATATAAGGTCCTAGGGTCCTACGGAGTGCAACATGAGATCCCCAACCGCATGGTTAAGACGCCAGAACGCTTATGAACCCCTTGAAGTGTCGAGGCATCAGCTCGAGAGCTTTTCGAACCTTGAGACCTTAAAGCGGCGTACTGGGTCCCAACCTTGCAGTCTCTCACTTAGTGTCTTCATTTGGCTTTCCATGCTCTCGGTCGCAGGCGCATTCTTCTGGTGCCCCTAGTAGTAACCATAGTATCCGGTATGTATACTATTGGCTCCCCTATATATCTAGTACCCTGGAGCAGTCCAGACATCCTTTTTTTTTTTTTCCCGTCCATGGGTTGTCCTGGATGCCACCATTGATGTGCAACGGGTCGAGCCAAGCTGCGTCCACCTCGAAAAGGCATAGGGATCCATGTTCTCACTTGGGAAAGGAAAAAACCAGGAAAAAGGCAAAGTCAACCAATCATATAGGGGTCTAAACTGACGACAAGCGCCTACTGGTTACCCTGTCAAGCAGGACCAGTACCCCGAGGGGAGTCTAGAACCCCAAAAAAGTTAACCACGGTGTCCTGACAAGCAGGGCCTGTGGAAAATTGCCTCACAAAAGTATAATTGCAGGGTCGGGATGATCGATCTACCTGAGGTAAGCTTACACTTGTCCACATTTTTTCTCATGTGTGATCCTGCTGCCGAAAGTGGCGAACAATCTACTACAGTGAGTGCAAGTCTTATTGGCCCTGTCAGAGCCTCTGCAGACCTCTTCATGTTTTACTCTTGCGTCGATGGTTTGTAGAACAAGATTACATGATTGACAAGTTTTATTTCTCTTGATGTCTCCTCTACAGTGTTTGAGGTGGTCCTCCAGCTGACTACTAAATTTAGACTTACAGTTGGGACATTTGTTCATTTTCCTAATTGGGTCAGTGCATACCTCGGGGTTGGGTGGGTTCTGCGAAGTACATTTAGACCTGGGAAGCCAAATGGTTTCATCCGTAACGCCGGCTCGGAAGACTTTAAGGCAAGAAGGGCAAGTGCGTGTAGCCTCGTCCGTCCCTCTACAGATACGCTCATGCAAATTGCGGAACTCCCTGGCGTGGCGGAAATGTTTCTTACCCTCCTGTTTAAAACGCCACTCAAAGGTTTTACCACAGTTTCTCCTACAAGGGATGTGAGGGGGGGCAGCTCCCGGGATGGCACAGTGGGCCTCGTGTCCAGCTAGCTGGCGGGCATATGATGTCCTCCAACAAAAGTCAGTAAGAAGGGGGTCAGAGGGGCTAGGAGATCCAATGGGAAGTGTCCATCTGGATGACATATTAGTTTGGGAGCCAGTAGCCCCTTTGTTAGCAAGTCGATCTGCTTGTTCATTGCCGTGATTGCCCGAGTGTGCTTTTACCTTTTGGAAGTCCAACGCTCGTTTAGCGGATACCGTTTGCAAGAGTTCACGAACCTTTAGGATAAGTTCAGTGTTGTGTTCCGGATAATGATCCTTAGTGATAGCGTCCACTGCATAGGTCGAGTCGTACCAAAGAGTTGCTGGGATATGTTCAGGGCCCGGGGCCTCTGTATCTAACCATATCAGGGCTTCTGCGATGGCCGTAACCTCTGCTGTGTTGTTAGTGGGCTGTAGCGCACCAAGCCATCTGGGGTCCCATTGTTCTACCGGTACTGGTCCCCATAAAGCAAAGTCCGGGAAAAAAGAAGTAAGACGAGACTCCCAAATACCTACCCCCCAACCCGCATAGGGGTGGCCCTCAGAAGGGCCCGATCCATCCGTGTAGATAGCCCAGCCTGCGACATCAGAGCCCCCTGCCGGGACAACCTGGATGGGGGAGGGGGGGGGAGGGATCAGTTCCTCAACCGAATGAGGTTTGGTGGGGCACTTGTGGGTTTTTGCATCCTTTGCGGTGACGAAAACCTGTCCGCAGTGCTTGCATTTGGAATGAAAAACCGTAATGACCCTTGGGTCCTGGGGTGCGTGGTGCTTGTCGTAGTGGGACCTTAAACCTTTGGGAGTAGGGTCCGCGTAGTCACACACAGGGCAGGGCCACGGGCCGGGGGAGCAGTTTGCTTCATCATCCGAGGGGAGAGGCGCAGGGCGGTGACTGGAAGTGGGGGCAGTATGCGAAACCTGGGACACAGGAACAGGGTGACCTGGGCGCCATCTATCAACCGCAGCTTTATGGAGTAGAGACAGGGATCCTTTAGGCAACTTTTGGTTTAAAAGTTTCAGCCAGTTAGATGACGGTGCTTGCGCCAACCTAAACCAATCTAGTGTTGGGATACCTCGTACTTGTTAAGCAGCCACTTGATCCACATCGGGAAGGTGTATCTACCGGTTTTGTGTTTGGGCATATGTTCCGGCCATCCAAATAAGGCAATCTTAGGGAGGCGGGTGATAGGCATGCGGGCCACATGGCCCACCCACCGGAGCACTTGTCGATGGAGTAAGTGTTCAAAGGAATCCCAGTGCACCAGTTGTCTAAGGCTCTCATCAGAATATGAATATTCCCTTTTGTTAAGTAAGTCAAGACCTAAGCACCTTCTTACGGCACGTGACAATACCTACTGGGCCTTTTTTCCTTGTGCCTTAGACCAAACTCTGGTTTTTCCACAGGCTAGTAGTGTCCCTTCTACAACAGACCTCATGACCTTTAATTTCCGACTGGTGGATAGTCCAGCCTGTCTACCTCTACCATGTGGGGAGCCTAAGGACCAAAGTTTGGCGATACGTTTGACCGCGAGGAAGCCTGCCTGCACACGCTTTTTGGTGTCTGGCCAGTAGTCCGCGGTGTCATTAAGGAAGGCACCCAGATGTTTCATGGTTTTTTGTTCAAATTCTCTGGTAACATCCATTCTACATCTGCCGCCCGAACAGAGGGTGATTTTTTCACGCTTATGGAAATGTTCTTGCTGGGCCCAGTCCTTGAGCGTGTTTTGGAACAGGATTTCCGATAGGGCAACTTCCTCCTCATATCCCATTATTTGTGTATCGTCCGCGTATTCCACGTCTCCCAAACATACCCGTAACACTCCTCTGGAGGATTGCTTGCCAGCAACTGTGCGGGTAAGGTGGCCGTCTACTTTGAAACACCAGGGAAGTCCAAGGGTGATGTTAAGATTGTTCGCTTGGAGTGCGCGTCTGTGTCTAAAGGTTTTGAGGATATATGCATGAAAGATATTGAACAGTACTGGAGAGGAAGGGCATCCTTCCCGTAGGCCCCTTTCCGTTAGCCAAGGGCTAGAGTATCCGTTGTGTATGAATACCGTGAAGGTGGTATGTTCGTGTAAGGCTTTAACAACTTGCACAAACGAAGCCGGCAGTCCGAGGCGGTCCAATAGTTCCCAAAGTGCCTGTCTACATACCCTAGTATAAGCCCTTATAATGTCAAAGGAGGTGATAGCGACTGCTTTATCATGTTGGGCAACCACTACTTCTTCGATAATCCTTCTAGCAACCTGATGTGCGTCGTCTATCCCTCGATTTTTACGGAATCCATTCTGTTCTTCGTCAAGAAAACCTTCCGCCCAACTAGAAAGACGAATGGCAATGACCTTTGCTATTATAGTTTAGCCGCAACTGAGAGCATGACCAAATTGCGGTAATTGTTTCGGTCCGTTCTGTCCCCTTTGTTCTTAAAAACTGGAATACAGACTCCTGTGGTAGTAGAAGCACACCAAGTTTTTGTTTCATGTCCAGGGTGGGCTCGGGATGCTTCCTCCCACATGTCCCCTATGATGCGAAATACCTCCGCCTGTAGGAGAGAACCCCCATATTTAATCATTTCTACCGAAACTAAATCGATTCCACCTCGCTTGCCATTATGCATTGCCGAGAGGGCCGAAGAAAATTCTTTCCAGGAGGGGGGGGAATTGAAAAGGGCGACATCCGTAGGGACCGAGGAAACATGTTGCCAAACATCCGGATTAACCCTGCCTGTATCCGCCTGTATCCCTTGAAGAAAACTTTTCCAAGCTTCGCGGTCTGCAACAGGGTCTGCAACTGTGCGTTTAGAGAGACTTCGGTGTTGACCACTCTCACGTAATCCTAGCAACCTACAGACTTGCCAAAATTCGAATTCATTTCCTGTTTGTCCGGCTTTTTCTGCTTTGGCTGCCAGTTCTTCCCACCAAAGCGCTTCCCACTGTTTCTTTTTGGATTGAAGAGTCTTGCTGGTCTGTCTTCGTTTGGTAAGCAGAGTAGCAACGTTAGGAGATTTTGTTCGTCTGGCCTCTCTCAACTCTAATTCAATATTGTGTGCGAGCGATTCAAGGTTGGCCAATTCCGTTTCCTTACCTTTGAACCAGGGTCGAAGACATCGTTTAGGGGTGGGGCCCAAAATCTTCAGTGCTGAATCCAACATAATAGCGACAAGAGAGTCCCAGTTGAGTGCACTACCTTCGACAGAGGACAGGGAAGCTGTTACGTGTGAGGAATATTTTTCTCTCAGGTCTTTGGCTTCCAGAGAAGAACCTAGAAGTCGCAAAACGTCCGGTTTGTTCTCTAGTGCTATTTTGTCTTCTGCTTCAGCCTTCCAATCTTTTCCTACAGTCCAAACCATCTCAATTGGGTCGTGGTCCGTGTGTTCCAGCCAGGGGGCAGAGGCGAATTGCATTGGTCTACCCAAAATTTTGCGGTCAGTACGTTTTTCCACCGTAGCGTGGTGTACCGTGTGGACCCTTTTACACCATCTTCGATCCTCTTTTCGAATCAGGAAGTGATCAAGGGCATGGGCAGTTCCGTCTTTAGGGTGGAACCAGGTACTTTTCTGTTCCTGCTTAGAGAAGGTATTCGCTACTATCAGGCCTTCTTGTTCGCAAAAAACAAGGAGTTCTTCACCCCCTCTTGTCCTCCGGTGGTCGCCAAACGGGCCCAACACATGTCTCCAAAGTTTGTCATAACCTGCACCCACCTCTCCATTGAAGTCACCTCCAAGAATGGGTTTTAAGCGACCACTGGTTTTATCCAACATGCGCCCTAGCTGATCCCTAAATTTTTCCCGGGATCCTAAGGAAGTTTTACTAGCAAGTGGGGCATAAACCGGAATCAGGCAGAACCCTGGCTTCCAGCCCTCTCCGTAGATTGGAACGCCAAAAAAACGATTATGCATGTCTGTTCCACTTCCTTTCAGCATCTGTGCTCCACCGTTTCTCCACTTATTAGCCCAGAAAGGGTCTAATGCTACACCTACCCTCCCGCAGTGAATAAGAATCCAGGTGTCATTTCCCTTCTTAAGTTCTCTAAAACCATCCTCTTTATATCTAAGATCAGTCAGCAAAGCAACATTCCATTTTCGTTCTTGCATGACTTGGACAATAGCCATTTCCTTACCTACGGGGTCTTTTCCAAACATCGCTCCCATTCCACGAGTGTTCCAGCTGCCAATTTTCAGAGTACCCTTAGCTGGTTTTGTAAGCTGAACCTCCGCTTGTCTACATGCCCACTGCCGTTTTAGTTTCCGTTTGCGTTTCTGGTTGTCAGCGCGTTTCTGTCGTTTACCAACATTACGTCTCTGACATCTCGAGAGTTTGGCGGAGGTAACTGGGTTTCGCTCTGTTGCATGTCGTTTCCGTTTAGTCCCATAGGTCTGAAGAAGTTTGGCTTCCCTGAGAAGTGTAACAAGTGTTTCTAAATCCGACTCCTGTTGGATTGCTTCATTTAAAGTTTGACCGTGTTTTTGGCAGTGCAATAACGTGTCCAACAGGTCTGCGTCTGGGACGGACGTCCAGTGTTTACCTACCCTGTGGCTGAAGTAGGCCGCTAGCCATTGTTTACAACCCAGTCGGTCCCCGAAGCTGATAATCCACTCGTGCAAGGAGAAATGGGTCTGTGTGTCAATGTGTTCTGTGGGACTGGCAAATGGAAAAGCTTCTCCCATATCAAAAAGTCCTTGTGTTGCCTTACTCTGTTGTCTCACGTCAGTCTTTGGCAGGGGACTCGTCTCAGGGGGGGGTAAGGAAGGACGGGAGGAAGGAGGGGAAGGAGGGAGGAAAGGAAAAGGGTTCCCTAAACAAAAGAAGTGAGCATCGGACAGCGAATTCGAGTCACCAAAACTGGAAGAAGAGCAATGCTTATGAACACCCATCTTCGGACCAATCTGACAAACATCAGCACAGTCAGATTCCCCCCGGTGGTCAGTCGAAGGGAGGGGCTCCAGTGGCGCTGGCTCTGGAGAAGGCGGCCGAAGCCCCCCAACCACTCCAGAGTCACTAACCAAAGGAGTTGGCAGCTGCCGCATCACTATACCCGATGTCAAGTAACCAATCAAGCTATGTGATGCACCTTCCGTGGAAGGCGTGGCTTGGCCAGCTGTAGACATCACTTCAGTAACAATATGTTACGCGCTGTTGTCCCCGGTCCAGCCTGCCGAGGAGGCTTGCTGCTAAAAGGACCGGATTTGGCACGTCAGCGAATTTCAAGCCGGCTGAAGGCGAGAGATAACCAGGGAATTTGGTTGGTTGGTTGGTTGGTTGGTTGTCAGGCGTTTGGGTTGGCCGCCTGGCCAGTGAAAACTCTCAGTCCAAAACCCAAGTCAGAAAAACTAAGCGGCCCGCCTTCCGCTCTGCCAAGCGAGTCAAAATAGTCATTGTCCAACGGCTTCAGCCATCGTTGTGCGAGAATGAAACTACTAATCATGAACATGTATGGTATCCATATGAAACTCCATTTGGTGCCCTTCCACTAGTTGGTGGCTATTCGTTCCTCTAACTTAACATTAAGTGTACTTGACAACTGGTGAGGGAAATGAAACTCCCAAAAATACTAGTGCTGAGCCTGTTTCATGTTGTGCTTGACCGATCGTGGCCTTACGTGCAAAAGTCTTGAGTGAACCTCAGGTGAAACAGCTAGTGGTAGCGCGCTAGTTTTTTGCCGCCTCGGCGGCCACTACCCTTCCCCTTGGGTCCTTTTCCTTTGTCCTCTTTGCCCTTGCCCTTTACTTTTCGACGTTCCATCTCAGTTTGAGTTCTGTTGACAAGCAGCTTCGTCACTGCTTTTATTCCTTGCTCTCTGTTGTCTTTTGCACTTGTGTTAATGCTACCCCTATTTGCTCTTATAAGCCTTCCTAAATCAGAAGTGCCGAGTTTCCCAAAGCGCAGCTGTAACACAGAGTGCCTTGGCTTCCTGTTCCAAGTCCTAGTACCTTCATCCCTGGTAGAACGCGTCTTGTTTGGTGTTACGAACTAGACTGCCTGGGTCAGGGCGTCACTTAGTCAGCTGTTGCCATTCTGCTAGTGTAAGGGTAGGCAGCGGGGACGGAAGTTGCATTAGCTGGGCCACCTCTTTTAGCACGGATTCTGCCGCGTCCTTACTTAATGTCTTGCAGTTGCGGGTCTCTGTCGCTGTCTTATACAGGTCTGCTATTTTGGCACTGTTTTCAACCACCAGCAACGTACACTTGTCCAGTGCATCCAGCCGACGGCGTAGTCCAGCCTGGTCTTGTGCTGTTCTTTTTTTTTTCCATTTCCCTGACCTTTTGTACCTATACTCTTCCAGAGCCTCGATTTTCCGCTAGTTTTCCTTTCTCCGACTTTCAGTCCTTACGCGGTTCCTGCGCTGTAGCTGTAGAGCCTGAATTACTACTATGCTGCATAGTGTGATACTAGTTGTACGAACGGTAAGAACAAACCTACACTCTAACTTCTGAGATAGTACATGACCTCTCAGGCCGGTGCGTGACCGACAAGTTAGACTTCCAGTGGTACATGACTCACTGGTGGGATTTGGGGGGTAGTATTTTATACACAATGTTTTCCTTTTCAACCTATTTGCTCGCTTGCAAACCAACATTGTGTACCAACGCAGTTTGAGTGCTGTAAGCCGATACGAATAGGTTACATGAAGCAGAGTAGAGACTCGGGGTGTACGGACCACATGTGTCCGAGAACCGAAATGAAGAAAGGACCTGAAGAGATTTTTTTTCCCCGGCAGCTCACCCAGTACTGCCCGGAGCGAGAGGCTGGAAGAGCATAGGCGGTAACCAACTAGACAAGTCCAGTGATTACCAACACCTACCCTCAACATCCAAGACCTGTTCACAAACCTCAAAGCAAAAACCTTTACAGCCTACCGCGAGTTGTCTGGCTCCCCTGTCGCCCTCTTAAAAAGACCTACGCACCCTATACGCGCATTACTCGGCGACGCTTAACAAGCATGGGGTTGGTTGAGCGTTCTTAGTCAGTAACCCTTTTTTGACATGTGCATTCAAGCTGCAAAAAACCAGTGGTGTGACATCACAAATTCAGTTGACAAACAAGCAGCACAAGCACCAAACAAAAAAAGAACATGCACAAGTCCGACAGCTTGAGTCCTTTCCTTTTTTCTTTCACAATTTGACATCTTGACTCTCAAGTGCTCTATAATGCCGAGGCCCATCCGTTCTCCCGCCACGTGGAGGCGTGCCAGCTCATTGGAGAACTAACCAGGGAATTTCATCATCATGGTGCGCGATGAAGGTAGCCCAGAATAAATTTCCATTGAAGAAGCCTGAGCGAACATTCCAGGGCGCATCGATTCTCTTCCCGGTAACTGTGTCTGGAACATGCCCAAGGAAACAATCTGCGAAACAGCACAGCACATATGCGTCGCGCTGCACAGCGTGGGTCTATATCATTGGCATCCGAACCTTACCTCTTCATTTCAGCCCATTCCCCAATTGACCTGCCAAGGACCTAACAACTAAGGTACCAACCACCTTGATGCCCATATTCTCTAAACCACCCGGGCAGGCATCGACCCCGGGCGGTGCCATTGCATGTTTACTTACGACCGCCTTTGCGGCCTCCGCGTCCCTTACCTTTACCACGACCAGCGGCTTTCCCTTTTCCCCGTCCTCGACCATCACCTGCCATCTTACCTTTGCCACGTCCCGCTTTCCCTTTACCCGCCTCAGCTCCTCCTCCCTCTCCTCCTTCTCGTTCCTGTCTGGCCTGGGCCCTGCGGCGTTTTTCTCCTCGTGTTTTGTCACGCCAGCACTGAATTTTACCTCCTCCCTTGGTCCTATTAGCCTCTGCCAACGCTGCATTAAGAAAAGTCGAGATATGACGTTCAATCCGATCGGCTCCAGCGCCGAAACGCCATACCAAGGTGAAACACTTTGCCTTCCGATTAGCCCGATCCTCTCCCCCATACTCTGCTTCCAACTTAACCAAACCGCGCATCCTAAGTTCATCCTGTATAGCATGTAAACTGTCACATAAATCGCGCGCACGGCGTCCATGTCTTTGTTCATCCCGGGGGGGGAGGTCATCAGTGAGCGGATATGGGAAATCCAGGGCTTCTGCCAGTTCCTTGAGAAACTTATTGCCTGCATCTCCTTGTGAAACGGCTTGGACAGGGTCTGGGTGTGCAGTCCATACTGCTTCCAGAGCATCAGAGTTAATAACAAAAGTACGAGTTTGTGCCCAGACTCGATCCATCCTGTCATCTGTCCGATGAATCTTATGTGTTAGCCACTCTTGTCCTTCCTCAAGAGCCGTCAGACGCGATTCAACGTCTGCCTCTACCATTCCTGTCCTTTTACCTTTACTCGTTGTGTCAAAACTTGTTTGTGCCAAAATCTCGCGATGTGTATTATTTCATGCGATTGCAGAGTCCGAAACCAATCTAAATCATCTCCTTGTGCAAAAGAGGGGGTGGGGTCATATGATCATATGTCACCATTTGTGCTGAATGGACCAGCATCTAGCCGTCCTGACTACCGCTTGGGCGTCATGTGTGAAGAGATACAGACCTCCCATTGGGAGTCAACTCTTCAAATGGTGGCAGTTACCTAAAAGTAGCGATATGTAGAACCATCTACTATCACACCCGACATTTTCGTTGGTGATTACGACACGAATCATAATTTGCATAAACTCTACCACAATTTGAACATGTACGGTTTGCCAGTTCCGATCCTTTACAGTGATTCACATGTCCAGGGAGGTTCCTGACTGTAGTTTGAAATCCACATTTATAGCATTGACCACGAGCTGCCTGGTGTGGTAGCATTTGATACACAACAGGGACTGGCGGCGGGGCCGCTGCTTTTGCTGCTCTCCAGTCTATCAAGCGTTTGCAATCGAATTCATGTACTCTCAATAGTCGTAAGTCTTCAATCTGCCTGCCACAATGTCTACATGTGTTATTGGTGTCCCGATCCCCACGACATAAACGTTCATGACTCTTCACACTACGCTTCTGGAGTTCCAAACCACACTTTCTACAGCGCCCCTTAGTAGGATCTAAAGCAACCCCTGGAATGTTGCAGTGTCCCTCGTGACTCCCCCGCGTTTGGGCATCATAAAAACGGCGGCCACAATGTCGACATACTTCAATAAGTCTGGGATCTCTCTGTTGTATTACCTCCCAAGCAGGGGGGACCTCAGTCCATCTCTTCCATTGTGGTGAGCTATGTCCTGCCGCTCCCCTGTCTGCGCATTTATCTGCGCAATCGTTCCCTATATCCCCACTATGTCCTTTCACATGTTTGAATTTCAACGATTGAGTAGCACGCACTTCCTCTACCAAAGCCGCGACTTTCTCAGCTAAAGCTACATTCGTGCGCGGGTGTGTGACGCGAACCGCGATATCCCTCGCATATTGTGAGTCATAATGTATGGTGGCCTGTACTACCTGTCCCTGTTCATCTATTTCCTGACCTTGTTCTAGCAACCATAAACAAGCTTCACCTATCGCAGTTAATTCCCCTGTGTTGTTACTCTTGTGTTCGGCTCCGAGATAGTTTGGGTCCCAAGCGTGTGTCAGTACCGGTCCATACAAAAAGTAGTCCGGGGGGATTGGCCGTATTGGCTCGATGGGGTAAACAATCGCCGCCCATCCCGCGCTCCCATGTGCACCCGATCCATCGGTATAGATGTGTCGATGTTCCAAAGCCCGTTCATCTCCGTGTGCTTCCATTGGCACCTCCTCTAAATCGACATCTACTTTACTCAAGCGATCCAAAGGTTCCCGCGCGGGACAAATGTGTCCCCTTCTTGCTTCCAGTTTTGGAAACCATTCCAAACAATGTGTACATTGGAAAGCATGTGTCGTGACCAACTCCGGATTGCACACTGCATGTTCCTGATCATAATGCGCTTGCCTGGTATTCCCGTGTTCAAAAGTGAGACCGCATACCCAGCACCTAAAACGACCAGCTACCCTATCTGGGACCCCAGGGGGCATATTTCCTATATCGGGACAACCTACGTTTGTCTGGAACAGTCAACTGTTTGTCAGGAAAAACGGAATTGATACGCTTTCTCCATTCTGTCCTGTTTTGGGCTAACCGAAACCAATCACCGGACGGAATTCTTGCGTACGCCAAACATCTTTCCAACCACCTAGCCTGACCTGACCATGTGTTGACCCGCATTTGCCGACCCTTCCACCATCCAAATAACATCTGTTTTGGTCTCCGATTTACCGACATTCTTGCCACATGACCCAACCAGATTAGAGACGCCTTCATAACCATGTGTTGAGTGGTCGGCCAGCCAGCCGCTCTCCGTAGCATCTCATTGGATATATGATGCTCCACCAGTGTGCGGTATTTCACCCCCCAACATCTACGAAGACATGCCTTTATCACGTGATCCATACGCGTAATATACAGTGAGTTCCATGAGCGTGTTCGTGCACTAAACATGGCCGTCGGAATTACCACCGCCTTTGCAATAGTCAACCGAACAGATCTAGCCATATTGCATGTTCTTCGACGATCCTGGCTCCCCCCAAAATTCCAAGATTTGCTGATGTTAGAAACCTTGCGGAACACCTCCTTCCGGCGATTGTTTTGTTCTATCGTAGGCGTGCCACAAGCTGACACCCACCCCCCGACATGTTTCACCCCTGGCGTTTCCCCTTGATGAGGAATGTCCGTGGCTTGCCCTCCCACTCCTTGCATCCGTAAACCTTCCGTTTTCCCGGGGTGAACCCGTTCCTCCCAATCCTGACATACTTGGTTGAACAATACCTCCGCACGACACACTTCCTCGCTCGTCCCAAGTATGGCAGTATCATCCGCGTATCCCACATCACCAATCACCACTAGTCCCGTTTCCACCCCGGCCTGGTTTCTTTCTGGTTGTCTCTTACCAAGTTTGCCATCAATTTTATATACCCATTCTAGACCCGGAAGCTCATCCCTGGCCTGGGCTGCGAGGCCTCTACGTGTCCTAAAATCAGTCATTACAGCATCATGATAGACATTGAAGAGGATAGGACTACTCGGACATCCCTCCCGAAGACCGCGTTCCGGTCGATAGGTTTCCGACATCCCACCGTGAACCTTGACCTTCATGTCCGTGTGATCATGTAAGGCCTTTAGCACTGCCAACATCCCCCTTGGACATCCCCGCCTTTTGAGCACGTCCCACATGGCCGGTCGGCATACCCTGGGATACGCTTTTTCTATGTCGAAGAACCGAAACAAAACCACCTCATCCGACGTGACCCGTGCAATTTCCTCCACAATCCTCCGAGAGATCTGATGTGTGTCATCCGTCCCCCGCCCGCCCCTAAAGCCATTCTGACCCTCATGCAGCCATGGATCACACCAACGGGCAAGCCTGTTCGCCACTAACCTTGCCATGACCTTCGTCCCGACACTCAGTAGTGTAACCCCCCGCCACGTGTTGCGATCCTCCCGTACTCCCTTTTGTTTCCAGAGCGGTACCACCACCCCAACCGTCCATTCAGTAGGCCAAGTCCCCGCCTCTTGCCCCGCCTCCGCCTGTTGAGCCTCCCGCCACGCCGTCAAAACAACGTTGAAGACCTGGTCCATTAACAACGGGCCACCATACTTCAAAAATTCGGCCATAAATCCATCCTCCCCTGCGGCTTTACGGTTTTTCATTTGCCCTATACATCTTTCGACTTCCTCAATAGTGGGATCCCGGGCCATCCATGTGGCTACCTCTTGGTTTTGGGGGATTGCTGCCCATACCCGATCAGGAACCTGACCTGTGCCCTCCTGAATTTTCCTAAAGTGTTCCCGCCAAGCTGCCCGTTCCTCCACGACATCGACAACCGACTGACGACCACCATCCTGTTGTTTAAGGCTTTTATGGGCTCCCAGCATTTTGTGCAGTTTGAATACCTCACCCAAGTTACGTTCCTGATCAGCCTGAAGAGCACGCCGAGCGAGGTCACTCCAGTAGTTGGTTTCCCATTGTTGTAATGCCCGAGACCTTTCCCGCCTGCACCGATTAAAAGCCCTGCGAGTGCGGCATACCTCTTGATGGTACTCTGCGCTCCATGGTTGCGGTACACTACGCTTCTCCCTATCGTTTTGCCTAGCTAGAGACACCCGGCGATCCAATTCCTGTAGTTGCTCCCAATGACCTTCGATCCAAGGCTTCACCTTGACCTGTGGCGCGGGGCCCAATACCTCCATTGCCGCCTCCTGACAATGTCGAACTATATCCCCCCACGATGCGACCCGCTGTGGATCTGTATAACCTGCGGCTTGGAGACGCCTGGTTATTTCCATCTGTAATTGCTGCCGGTATTCGAAGACAGGTATGTATGCCCAATCCCCACAGTTTTGCCACATCAGATTTAATGCTACAAGTAGTACCTGCAGTATCCCTCGGTAGCCATAGCTTACCTTGGCGTAGGACTATCTCGACTGGGTGGTGGTCCGTGTATGGGTCCCAAAACCATCGTCCTGAACCTGGTCGCGATTCCTCTATATGGACTGCCTTACATGAAACCAGGTGCCAGCGGTGTCGTTTGTCCAGTAGAAAATGATCCAACACATGTTCGGTACGATACCTGGGGTGCCACCATGTCCCTCTAAACCTCTGTTCATACTGACTCGCCGCGTCGAGAAAACCATGTGTACGACACCAATCCAACCATTCCCCTCCCGGGATCGACCTCCGGGGCAACCCAAAAGGTCCCAGCACATCTGCCCATCCCCCATCCGAAGCCCGACCAAATTCAGCATTAAAATCACCGGCCACCATCTGTATCGAACTCCCCGGTGCTTGATCCAAAAGCTCCTGAACCTGCCGATGTAAGCCTTGCCTCTCCCCCAGAGTGGAATCAGTGGTAGGTGCGTAAAGGCCTACGATATAAAGCCCCCGTCGCCACCCCACCCTACCGAAGTAGATTCCGGCTGCGCGTTGTTTTTCCCCCGCCACTGTTGATCCTACGTAAAATTTTCCCCCACTGGACCTCCACCATGCGAGCCAGTGTGCGTTCATAGCAAAAGCGACCGGCCCCACCACCAACACCCCCCACACCTGTAAGTCCGTCCTATACATGCGAAGTCCGTTGGTTCGAAACTTAATATCGGACAGAATTGCAAGACCCGCCCCTTGACGTTCCAAGCAAGCCAAAAGACATTGTGTCTTAATCCATGGGTCATATTTGGAATATACTGCACCCCACCCCCGGGTATTCCACGTAATCAGTTTCAGACGTTTCGCCGCCTTGCTCTGTTTTCGCAACCTTTTGGCCCTATCCTTATGTGCCCTTTTTACTGCCTCAAAACGTTTGAGTTTCTTCCGTTTGTTACCCTGCCGCTTTTTGCGAGCCTTGCGGATCAGATTTTGAACCTGAGTCCTAGTTGCTCCTTGCTGCTGTGCTTGTTTGACTTGTGCTAGTAGATGTCTCTCACCCGAGTGTCTTAGACCGCTGAGTTCCCTGAAACATCTCTTTCTACATTGACCCGGAGGTTCCATGTTCCCCTTAGCGATACCAGCTCCAGAGCACCTGAAGAGAACACCTTAGGGCCTATTCTCTACAACCAACCTGTACACCTCAACCAAAAGACCCTTCACAACGACGTCTCGGCCACAGACTATCGTTGTCTACTACCCCCCGTAGCTAGAGGGAAAGGAGCTCCACAAGGGAACCCCCAACGTCCCACAGCGGTAGTGAGGTAGGTCGTATCCTCCCGTTCTCCCCAAATCCTGTCCCAGTACCAAGCGAACTACTCGGTATATATAATCTGGAGAAACTCCGGACTCAACAGGACCGGGCTGGGTTCGCCTCTAGCTCTCACACTAACTGCAAGCAAGGTTCCTTGATCCGAAATGCTGCCAGAGTTGCCCCGGTGACACCCACGTGGAGGGCTGGATACTCGTCACCGTAACCAGGGAATTTGCCCGTGATCTCCGGAGTGATATATCCCATTGTTGCAAGCATGGATATGCGACCGTGCTTCTTCTTCCTTCCTCCCGGGGAGGTGTCTCACACCCAAACACAGGAGCATGCGACAACGTGAAGGGCAGAAGCCCGAGCGGCTGGCAAGCTGCCAGCACATCTTGGTAAAGACGGTGAGGAGCACAATGAACAGCTCAGCCAGAGCGCAGGTATCGGTGAAAGAGCTGAAAATAATGCCCACCATTACTGTGTAATTGCATCAGGGGATGCACTCGAGTACAGGAAGACCTCCAGCAAGCAACACGGGAAACAGTACTCCGAAATCAAGGCAAAGATCACAGGAGATATACTGAAGCGTCAAGGTCTTATTGCAGACCATCAACTACCTGGGTTGAACAGTGAAATGGGTGATACACACATATACCAACTTGCTCTTGCAGCAACCTATGAAGCCATGGGGCAAGTTTGCCTCATGAAACGTTGGATACGTTTCCAACCTTGCCATGTTTGCTGTGCTGAGCAAACAGCACAGGTGGGCAATTCATCTACTGAAGATGGTTCGAGGATGATGTGACCAGTCGTATTGTTTCGATTGTGTTCTTGAGCTATAGCAATTCGCTTGAAGAGTTTAGTACTAGGCCGTGCCAGGCGGCTGCCTGGCTGTTGGTGTTGCGTATCTTGTTCTCCACCACATGCTTCTTTCATGAGTCTCCCAATATTTATGTTGGTGCGCTGGCACACTGAGCATTTGGCAACTTGACCTGGCAAAGAAACTTCAAGTACATGCTTTCGTTCAGCATGAGCAGTTCTGTTATTATGGTGATTTTTTTTTCTAATCTCTGCTTTTCTCTCCAGCCATTGGCTTGGTTGATACTTTCGAGTTCTTGCGGTGTCCACTGGACATCTGCTAGCAAAGCTTTGAAGGAAGTTAATTTTCTGCGGGCTTTTTGTGTCTGGTAAGCTGCGGGTGCAGCTTGTTTGCCTGTGAGCCTTCTACGTTGAAAGGGCGCATACTTGATGATGGGTGCCGGGGGCAAGTCAATTTTAAGCTGTCGAAACTTGAGAGCACCCTTTGCTCTGGTCAGCGCTATCTCTCCAAGAACTTTGTGTACATATTCTGGTTGGTGCAAGCATGGTCGTTTTGTCAATCCGGATGCGCGTCCGAATCCTAAGGCTGTGAGAGCATTGACATGCTCAACGGCTTCGCCAGGGTAAACTGTTTGTTGGCAAATTTTTCCCAATCTCTTGCTAGCACCTTCAAAGAACAAAGCCATGGTGAACGCAGTCTGCGTGGCTGGGTCCTGCTCAGGTCGAAGTAAAGCACAGTGCGTGCTAGCGTGAAAATCAAGAGCTAGCTCTAACCAAGAGACTTGCTGGTCTGCCCCTGGATCGTTGTTCCAAGTGATCGTGGACCAATACCAATGTAAAGGCTGGAAACACGTGAGGCCAAACAGCCATTCGCCTCCTTTGCTGTACCTGCGCCAGGTGTCCGGGATGGGTGCTCTGAACTCGGTCTGACAACGTCGCTGAAAGTTCTCCACACTTCCATCTCCTGTGAAGCCTGCTGGGTCCCAAAAGTAGTAGTGGCTTGTAGGGGCATGAAGGCATACCGCCTGCACACCCCAAGCACACGGGACATCATCCGATGCCAGCATGAGGCGGTTCTGCAGGTCTGTCAGAGGAAGAACCTGCAGCGGCAGAAGTAGAACTTGCATGAGATGGGTCAGGTTGGTTTGGCTTTTGTTTTCCGACAATCCTGCGACGGGTACCCGAAGTGGATTGTGGATTTGATTGTACCTCTTGAGCGGCAGGTGCGTAGTGTTCAAGAACAGTAACCCAATCGGGAGGTGTTGGTGTTGAGCCTGTGGGGTTACAAGTGGTACGCTTGAGATTAGACATTCTTTGTGCCCAAGCCCAGCTGCGACCGCATGCAGAGCACCACAAAAGTCCATAGTCGGGTTTGTTCTTAATCTTACCTAGTTTGCGGTTCCATACTAGGACGTGTTTGCCTGGATTATACTGGCTATTGAGTAGATTTTCTGCTTCATGCATCCGATGTTGCGATTGCTGAAATCCTGGAGTGGTCAGCCATTGACTGGGTTCTAAATCGGGAAATTTACAGGGCTTATTAAGGATCTTAAGTCGCTGATGCTTTTGATTCTTGGTTTGCTTGCCACAGCGACAGCAAAAGACTCCCCCTGTGGGAATTAATTTTAGAATATGGCCTCTTTTTATGGTAGGAACACTGTTGGGTGGGTTTACATCTGGTGAGCTGCTGGTCGGATTAAGAGCACTTGGATTAGAGGCTGGGTTAGTAAAAGGGTCATTTGGTGTTGTAGAATTTGATTCGGTAGTGTCATACCATAGCTGTACCTGTTTTTGCCAGATGTTAATGAGAATGGACTGGATGTTCTTAATTTGAGTTACAGATATGATCATTTCATTAGGAGCGAGCGTGGTGATCTGAAAACAAACTGGCAGGTGTTCGATTGGTGCAGGTAGGTATTGCCATATATTGTTGCGGATATCTTGGTAGCATGCGCATTCCCAACTGATGTGATAGATCGTTGGGATACCGTGACCACACTGGCATTGGATGGTTCCGGAGCGTCTACGGTGCCTATGGTCACGTTCAGACGTTTGCAGCCCTGCGCTTAGCATTAAACGGAGTATTTTCAACTTAGGTCTGGGATCTGTTTCGGGGTCTGCGGTTGGTATATGCTGTTCATCGAGTTGCTGCTGCACAAAATCGGCTCGGCACATGAGATCTTGCAGTAATGCGGTGGACAAAGCACGATTGATGCCGACCTCAATACCGCTGAAATGCTGGGCACGATCTTTTGCGATTTTGGTCCACCAGTCATAGCGAAATTTGTCTCGAAGTGAATGCTGCCACTTATTCTGTTGGAGTCGGTTATTTAAGAAGTCATGTAGCACCTGGTGATAAACGTCATGATGATATAATTGATGCATGCGACTAAGGGGACTATCGACTGGAAATGTGGCTTGAGGGTCACTGATGTAATCCAAAACTTTTTGCTTGTCAGGATTGGTTACTATGCGAAAAATTAATTGCAGCGCGGCAAGGTGCATAGCGAAAACTGGTTCGATGGCAGGTTTTGAGAGGACTGTAAAAATAATGGCTGGGGATGCATCATAAAACGTGGAATTCAAGAGGGCACGAATGATAGTGGCACGTAGGCTTGTGGCATTTTGGGGAGTGACATGTAGTTGATGTGTGCCTTGACCGAATGTGAGTTGCGACATGAGGCTTTGAATAATTTGTACTTTTTGTTGCCAGCTGATAGGTAGCAACCTTACATTCTCAATACTTTTGGTCCATGTGCAAATGCGACTTTTTTCGAGGCCAGTCCATCCGGATTTCTGATTGATTTTAATGCTGCCGCCTACAAGGCGAAACTGATTCCCCACCTGCCAGGTGAGGGTTGTTAGATTTTATGTCAGTTGCCTGCTCCTCTCCTACTCTCCTCTCCTCCTCTCCTCTCCTCCTCTCCTCTCCTCCTCTCCTCTCCTCCTCCTCCTGCTCAACCGCGACCCTCGACGCACAGTGTTCTCTGTCGGACCTCAACCACGACCATCCACGCCCAGTGTTCCCTGCCGGACCTCAACCACGGCCATCCACGCCCAGTGGTCCCTGCCGGACCTCAACCACGACCATCCACGCCCAGTGTTCCCTGCCGGACCTCAACCGCGAGTATCGATGCCAAGTGTTCCCTGCCGGACCTCATGTAGGAAGATATGGGACAAAGAATGTGCAGAAGAAAGTTAGAAAGAATGTCAGACAAGTATGTTATATATTACTTGCAAACTCGCGCGTTGGAATGCCAGAAGATATGCCAGCTGGAATGCCAGAAGATATGCAATAACATATGCCAGAAGATATGCCAGATAGAATGCCAGAAGATATGTCAGAATATATGCCAGATACATTGCCAGATAGAATGCCAGAAGATATGTCAGATAGAATGCCAGAAGATATGCCAGAACATAAGCCAGAAGATATGCCAGATAGAATGCCAGAAGATATGCCAGAAGATATGCCAGAACATATGCCAGAAGATATGCCAGATAGAATGCCAGATAGAATACCAGAAGATATGTCAGATAGAATGCCAGAAGATTTGCCAGTAAGAAAATGTATAGATGTCATGGTGGGGATCACACGAAGTAAAGTAATTTTTATGCGCTGGTATGCTTCTAATTGATTGGGAGACGCATTTATTTCCGAAAGTGAAGCTCTTATCTGTGTTAATGGTCATTCCAGCATCGTTAACGAATTCAGCTGTTAGCTGATGCATGCCACGTGTTTGTTCAATCAAAGCATTTTTGGTGCGTGCTTTAGTACACAGTGAGAGGTCGTCAGCGTAACAGCGTGGTACAGCATAAGGTATTTTGCTTTGGCTGAATTCGATCCATGTGGTAATAAGGCTGGTGAGCAAAGGCATGCTTAATGGGCAGCCTTGGATTATTCCATTGTGTGGTCGATAAGCCTTACTATATGTTCCGTCTATGCGAAAAAAAATGATGTTGCTGGTAAAAACCAGTCATCGCACGAACGACCTTGTCGTCCGCTCCGCGGTGATTAAAAATTTGCAGGACGAGGCATACCGGAATGGTATCAAAGCATTTACGCATGTCATACGATAAACCTGAAGTGAGATAATTGTTCTGCATATCAAGCGCAATTTGTAAACAAGTATCAAAAGCAAGTGAATCGGCAGCGTTGGTTTGTTTGAGGCCATATGCCTGATTTGACTTCCACTTGCCGGGCTGCAATAGATGGAGCAGAGAATGGTTAAAGGTCTATAATTTGATGGGGCAGGACATTCACTTTGGTCTTTTGGGATAAAGGAGACAGCTCCTTTAGGCAGGTCTGCTGGCCAAACGCCTGATTTTTCAATGCAGTTAAAAAGTATAGCAAGTTCATCGAAAAATGCTGGGCACCATTGAGATAGGAGGCAAAGTTCATGTGGGGAAATGAAATCCATCCCTGGTGCTGATGGACGCGTATTGGATAATTTCTTTCGTAGTTGCTCACCGGTTATTGGATTAAGACTACACAAATCACTTTTGATGTGTTCGCCATATTTCTGCAAAAAGTGACGTAATGAAGGTTCACCTTTCTTATGTGTATCATAGATGTCTTTCCAAATTTTGCTAATCGCATCAAGGCGAGCATGTGAGTTTACTGAAGTGATAACATCTGCGGTAGCAACTTTGACTGCTTGTGTTTTTGCTCTGCTTTTCAGCCATTTAAACGGTTGGTTGGTATGGCTGCGCATGCGTTTTGCAATACGCTCACTGTTGTCTTTGCGAAAATTATGTGATAGCGCTTTTTCAAATAAGTCGACGAGTTTGGTGGCAGTGTCATTAGATGCAGGCATTTGTAGGATGTCGCTAACAGGAGTTTTATATGGTTCGGGGAGATAGGTGTTTTTGGCGATCGCATTCCATGTCCTGTTACGTCTGTATCCGTTTGAGCATTTTGTAACTTCGATTGCTTGATTTAGGCACTTGAAAATTTTTCGAGTCTGCAAAGTGGATGCATGTGCTTGAATTGCTGGAGGGTATCGTCGTTGATCGTGGAATACAATGCGTCCACGAGTGCTGTCGGCTTCAATTGGTGGTAAATTTTGTGATTTGGCGATCTGGTTGAAAATTTTGTTCATGTCGGCGATCAAAATTTTGTAGGCTGTATCTATGTCGGAGTTGGCAATTGCACGCGAACAATTTTGTGAAGCCTGATAGGGAATGATCCTATCATGTTGGGTCGGCATGTGCAAATGTTGAAGGCATGTTGGCTTCCTCAGACTCATGCGTGTTTGCACTGGTGTGGGAACTTTAATCTTGATGGAAACTTGTGAATGATCTTTGAATGTTGGTATCTTAGTGACTTGGAAATTAAAACTGAGGTCATATAGCGCTGGTGAAACGAAAATATGGTCAATTTTTGATCCTTGGGCTGGTCCAACATGGCATGTTGGTGCATTGAACATGCTGGGTTCTGCCACATTCCGAGTGTCACACCATGTGCGATTGTAAAGAAGCTGCGCGATCTTTGGGCTTTCTTCTATCGTCATATTAAAATCTCCGAGCAAAACTGTGGGCAGTTGACCACGTGCCACACTGTCAAGTGTAACAGCGTCCAAAAGATCATATAATTGTTTCCTTTTGGGTTGCTCCCATCTGGATCCTGAGGGAGCATAGATGTTATACAATAGTACGGAACAGCCACCATGTCCGAACCATGCTTGGACTGCAATCAAACGCCCTATTGCTGCAAATTTGTGACATGGATTGTCCACTTCAAATGAAATTGGCGTGACTTTCCAAAATTTCGTTTTTTTAAAAGAAGCGCGACACCGTTGTAATGTTTTGTGTCCGGGCCTGGTGAAAAGTAGCAAAAATTGTGCTTCCATTCCTCTGAATATGCAGCATGCAAATGAGACTGCAAATGCGTCTCTGTGAGGGCGATGATGTCCAGCTGAGAATCTGTGATACTTTTGCGTTTGGTATAAGTGGCTAAGCCATTGGTATTAATCGTCCCAATGTGCAGTTCAGCATCGTATGGAATACGGTGTTGTGCTGTCCAATCATTTCTTTTATGAGGACGAGTATTGCCATGGATTGTTCGCACCATTTGATTTCTGCACTTGTTACTGATGTGCCAGCTTATTCTATGATTGAAAGAAATCACACATGTGGTTTGGCTGCTAAGTTCAACACCGAATAGGCTATGATGCCACTGCTTTTTAGCGCTGGGGTCTTCGATGCGTGCAACCTCAAGTTGCTTTGTGATCAAGCATGGAATTGCATCATGCGTGCAACCTCAAGCCTGCTGGGTCCCAAAAGTAGTCGTGGCTTGTTGGAGCATAGAGGCATGCCGCCGTCCCACTCCGAGCACACATGGACGCCCACTCTCGGCAGTACGCTGGAGCTGCTTGCACTTGCACCTGAGGCTGATGGAGCTGATTCGCTGTCACGGGTAAACACTGTCTGTTTGCCAACCAATCGTCTGCGCACTTGCTGACTGCTGATGGTCACATTTGCGGGGTTGGCTTGGTTAGTGGTTGGAAAATGATCTAGCAACATTACCCAATCTGGAGGATCAGCTTTATTGGAAAGAGGAACACAAATGGTCTTATTGTTGTGTCTTTGTGACCATGGCCAGAACCGGCCACATTGTGCACACCATAGTTTTCCGTAGTCCGCTTTGGATTTATTCTTACCAATTTTCTTATTCCAGATCAATTGATGATTTCCTGGGTTATATTTTTGGTTGAGTTCTTTTTCTGCTTCTTGGATGCGTGTTTCTGAAGTATGAAATCCTGGTTCTTTAAGCCATTTGGAGGGTTCGAGGTCCGGAAAGGCACAAGGCCTACTGAGAATTTTGAGACGCTGATGTTTTTGATATGTAGTTTGCTTTCCACAGCGGCAACAGAAAACACCCCCCGTAGGGATTAATTTGAGGATATGCCCACGCTTAATAGAAGGCTGATTATGAGGGTTATTATTTACTTCAGGAGGACTAAAGGGATCTGATTGGTTCGGTGGTTGACCAGAAGATGGTCCTGGATTATTCGGAGTTTCAGTATCAGGGTCGGTGGTATCATACCAATCCTGCACTTGTTTTTGCCAAATCAGAATGAGAATTGCTTGTATATGCTTGATTTGAGCTTCAGTTATCTGCAGGTTAGAAGGCACGATAGACGTCCATTGAAAGCAAACTGGTAAGCTTTCAAGTCGCTGCGGAAGATATTGCCAAATGGGTTGTCTGATGTCTTGGTAGCATTTACATTCCCAGCTTATATGATATATAGTGGGGGCACCACTGCCACATCTGCATTTGACTGATCCTGGTCTTCGTCGATGTCGGTGGTCTCTTTCGGGTGTTTGTAGCCCTGCACTAATGAGAAGGCGCAAAATTTTTAGTTTGGGTCTAGGATCTTCAGCTGGGTCAATGGATGCGACTTGCTGTGTGTCGAGTTGGTTCTGCACATGATCAGCCTGTGATGCGAGTTCATGTAGGAGTGCAAGTGTACGTTGACGATTGATACCTTGTTGGATTCCATCAAAATGTTGGCATCGTTCACGAGCTGTTTTGTTCCACATGTGCAAGCGATACTGGTGACGTAGTTTGTGTGGCCATTTATGCCAATCCAGGTTACCATTGAGAAAATCATGCATAGTTTGATGGTAAACTTCATGGTGGTATAACTGGTGAATGCGGGCAACCGGGCCATCAGTTGGGAAAGTTTGTTGCGGATCGACAATAAGATCAAGGATGTTGCGTTTATCACTGGGGGTCTGTATCATCCTCAATATAAGTTGAATGGCAGCAAGATTCATAGCGAATTCTGGCTCAACGGAGGGTTTTGCCAACAATGTAAAAATGATGGCAGGCGAGGCATCATAAAAGGTTGAATTCAAAAGAGCACGGATTACGGACGCACGAAGGTTGGTGACTACTCTTGGTGTAATGTGCAGTCGATGGGTACCTTGTGCATAGGTGAGCTGAGACATGATGCTATCGATGATGGTAAGTTTGGATTGCCAGCTTATGGGAAGCATCCGGATATTCCCAAGTCGCGACTTCGAAGCTTCTGCTCGCGTCTTTTCAAGCTCAGACCAACAATTTTTGTCATCGATTTTTATGCTACCACCAACCAGCCGAAATTGGTTTTTGTGCGTTTTGATGTGACGAATGCAGCCAGCTACGGATTTATCTCCAAATGTAAAACATTTATCGGAATTTAAAGTCATCCCAGAATCATTCACGAAATCCGCTGTTAGTTGGTGCATCTCCCGGGTTTTTTTAACAAGGACTGGCTTAGTCATTGCACTGGCACACAATGACAGGTCATCGGCATACGATCTCGGCACAACCTCCGGAATTCGTGATTCACAATGTTCAATCCAAGTTGTTACGAGACTTGTTAAGAGGATCATACTGAGTGGACATCCTTGTACTATTCCGTTACATGGTTTGAACGCATGCGTGAATGTGCCTTCAAGCTGGAAGAATTTTGTGTGTATTGTACAACCCAGCTAAGGCTTGGATAATTCCAAAAAAAGCACCTCTCTGATTGAAAACCTGAATGACCAAGTTTATTGGTATCGAATCAAAACATTTCTTCATATCGTAGGATATGCCTGAAGTGAGAAGGCCATTCTGAGTGTCAGTTGATACCTGCATACAAACGTCAAAGACCAGAGCATCTGCGGCTTTTGCTTGTTTCAAACCGTATGCTTGGGTAGCCTTCCACCGTGGGAGCCAATTCTTACATAGTTGATTATGTCGAATAGCAGCACACGTTCTATATACTGCTGAGAGGATGGTTAGCGGTCTATAGTCAGTGGCGTTTGGACAGTCCTCATTGGTTTTGGGAATGAAAGTAACAGATCCTTTGGAAAGATCAGTTGGCCATTTACCTGTTCTTTCAATCAAATGGAGTGCGCTCGGTACAACGCAGTATGCTTCATGTCCCGCAAGTTATCGAGCAAAGGAGGGACCCGAGTACACAGTACCACAGCGCCAACAGAAATCAGTGAGGAGTGGGTAGGGGAGCCGACAGGAACCTTCCAACGGGGGGAAACTTTAGTTTGATGTCCTTTGCTACCTTCACCTGCGAGATGATCCGCGTAGTCGTTACCTACGTTGTTGGAGTGAGCTTTAACTTTGCACCATTGGATACAACGCACTTGAGAAACACGCTGATAGATGACTTGGACATTGTGAACTAATTCCTGATTTTGCTCCGCCGTAGCCTGACCTGTTATGACATCGTGAGCATACGAAGAATCAAACCAGAGAGAAACAGGGAGGGACGGGGGGCCTGGTGCTTCCGTTTCCAACCAGATGAGAGCTTCAGCGATAGCCGTGACTTCACCAGTATTGTTTGTAGAAACAAGAGCCCCAAGCCAGCGCGGATCCCACCTTTCCACAGGGACAGGGCCGAAAAGCTCAAAATCAAGAAGAGCACCTTTGACAGGAGCCGCCCAAACAGCCACCCCCCAACCCGCCCACATTTGATCATCCAGCACCATCCGTATATATAGCCCACCCTTCAGCATGCGGCAAATCAGCGGGGAGGGGATCCTGAGTCCCTGGGTTTGCAGACGTGACAAGGGAATCAACGTGATGAAAGAGCGCAGGGCATTTGTGACGCCTGGATTCTCTCAGGGAGACAAACACCTGGGAACAAGTGGGGCAAGTAGATTTAAACATAGTAGTGACAGAAGGATCTGAAGGTTTTTTGCATTGTCATAATGCGATTGCAAACCTTTGTTTGGCAGAAGATGCAAGAAAAGGGCAGGCAGGGCATGGCCAACAATTGTCAACGGGTTCCAGGTCGTCATCAGAGCACGGTTCAAAAACCAAGGGAGGGTCAGAAATCGGAGTCGGGGGAGAGGGAAGGTCGTCACCTGGTTTCCATTGGTTGATCACTAGGACCTGTTCACTGGAGGGTTTGGAACGGGGAAGCTTCGTGTTGAGGATGGAGAGCCATTGTGAAGTGGGTTTTTGTGCCAATCGAAACCAATCCATGTGAGAAATGCCATGTTTCTGGAGAAGCCACTTAATCCACATTGGATACGTAAATCTTCCCGAGGTATGTTTGGTCATTTTTTGCGGCCAGCCAAATAAGGCAATTTTGGGCAACCGGGAAATAGGCATGCGAGCAACATGACCTACCCACCTCAAAACAGTGCGGTGAAGAAGGGTTTCAAAGGAGTCCCAGTTAGCTATAACAAGCGCAGTCCCTCATCAGAGTAACCAAATTCACGCATGTTGTGACGATCAACCCCAAGAGCTCGACGAATGCCTCTAGATAAGACCTGTTGTGCCTTAAGTTCCTGCACCTTATTCCAAACTCTGGTTTTGCCACAAGCAAGTACTGTACCTTCCAGGACTGCTCTCATCACCTTAAGTTTACGAGCCTGGGTCAGGCCCTTGTGGGAACCACGCCCTCTAGGTGTACCTAGGGACCAAAGTCTAGCCACCCTTCTAACAGCAAAGAAACCAGCCTGTACCCGTTTTTTGGTGTCTGGCCAGTAATCGCCCGAATCATTCAAGAATGCCCCAAGATGTTTAATAGTACGCTGTTCGAACTGATGCAGTGTCTCCCACTTGTTACGCCCACCTGAACAAAGGATAATTTTTCCACGTTTTTCTAAGTTCTCAAGTTGCTCCCAATCTTGGAGGGTTTGTGTGAATAACGTTTCAGCAATACTAACCTCTTCATGGAACCCGAAGATCGTCAGCATATTCGACATCCCCTAGGCAAACTTGGAGAACTGCTCGTGATGAAGTTTTTGACTTACCAGTACGTGAAACACGGCCGTCAACTTTATATTCCCAAGGAAGACCAGGTGTCATACTCAGTTCCTGTGAGGCCGCACAACGGCGATAACGGAAGGTATTCATGATGAAAGTGTGGAAAAGGTTGAATAAGATAGGGGAGGAGGGGCAACCTTCCCGAAGGCCTCTTTCGGTGAACCAACCCAATAGACCGTTTTAGACAAAATCCTATCTATTCTAGGATTTTGACTATTTCCTAGATTTTTATATATAAGATTTTTTTTTAGATAACTATTTTAGACTATTTAAAAACTACAAAATAGATAGATTTTTTGCAAACTATTCTCTGGAAATCTATCTATATTGATTTGTCTATTTTCAAAAAAATAGTTAGATTTAGAGTTACCTATATAGATACATTTTGCCGAAATAGATATCTATAAATAGATAGAATTTGCCGAAATAGATATCTATTTTTGACAGTAAAACTTCGAACGAACTCCGGGGTCACACCTGGGGCACGATATAAAACTTCGAAGTTGGCTTCGGAGTTTTATATCAAAATTTCGAGAAAAACTGACAAAAAATGATTCCAAAGTAAAAACTTCGAATAAACTACTTATAAACTTCGAAGTTAAACTTCGAACGAATTACTAGCAAACTACGAAGGTAACGGTTGAATTTTGGCATGGTCAAAACCATGAAAGATCAACAAAATAGACAAAATTTAGCTTAATCTATTTTCAAGATTTTTCTCTATATAGATAAAAAAACTCTCTATATAGACCCAAAAAAAACACAGATTTATCTATAATAGTTTAAAAAAAATTAATCTACTTGCAAGGAAAAAAAGAAGACAATAGATAAAATCGAAATTGTCTAATAGATAGGAATCTATAGATTTTTACGATCTATCTATTTTGTAGTTTTTTGTCTAAAACGGTCTATTGGGAAGGCGAAGAGTAACCGTTGTGAACAAAAACCATGAACCGAGTATGCTCGTGGAGAGCTTTAAGACTTTAAGAACCTGAAGAAAATCATCCGGGATTCCCAACCTTTTAAGCAGTGACCAAAGAGCATGTCTACAGACCCTGGTGTAAGCTCGGATAATGTCGAAACTAGTAACAGCAACAGTATAATCATGCTGAGATAATACTACAACCTCCTCGATAATACGGCGCGAGAGCTGGTGTGCATCATCAACACCCCTGTGTTTGCGGAATCCGGTTTGTTCTTCTGAGAGGTGTTGCTCAACCCAAAGGGAAAGACGGGTGGCGGCGATACGGGCGATAAGTTTTGCGGCTACTGAAAGCATAACCAGATTGCGATAATTCTTGCGATCTGCTTTATCCCCTTGTTTTTGAAAACAGGAATGCAAATACCAGTGGTGGTGTCAGAGGACCAGGAGTCAGCCTCCTTCCCCTGCTCAGCCATACATGCTTCCGACCACATGTTGGAAATGATAATGAACACCTGATCCTGAAGTGGTAAACCTCCGAATTTGATAAGTTCCACCGTGACATCATCGATTCCACCTCTACGACCCAAGTGCATTTTACTCAGAGCAAGGTTGAATTCCTTTCTTGAGGGTGGGGAGGAGAGTTCCGTGGCTAAGGAGGAGGACTCTGGAACGTGTTCCCAAACGCTAGGGTTGACATTACCTGCATCTTTCTGGATGTCAGCCAGGAATGATTTCCAAGCTTCTCTCTCAAGTTCGGGTTGTGGAACAGTACTTTTAGCAACTTGATGAAAGGTACGCGTATCGCGGAAACCTAGCGTCTTACAAACCTGCCAGAAAGTGAATTCATCGTTTGCATCACCTGCTTGTTGGGCTTTATCTGCTAAGTCGTCCCACCATTGCGCCTCCCATCTCTGTTTCTGTTTGTAAAGAGATCGACTGGCGGCACGTCTGGCTTGAAGGGGCTGGTCGATACCGTTCGCGTTAGAAAGCCGTGCTTGTTTAAGGTTGAGTTCCGCAAGGTGCACCTGATTACTTAGTTCCTTAAGCTCTCTTTCTTTACCTTTCAGCCAGGGCAGAGGGTGACGGGGGGGAACAGGGCCCAAAATGCGCAATGCACATGTTTTCATTACGTCAGCGACAGCGTCCCAGTTCAAGGATGAACCATCCAAGCAGCTAAGGGCATTAGTGACAGCTTCCGAGTACTTGGACCTGAGGGTCGTAGCCTCTAAGGAGGAGCCCAACATTCTTAAGACGTCCGGCCGTGAACAGGGATTGTTAGGGTGGGGCGTCAGCAGCGTCCAATCTTTGCCGATCTTCAATAGGGTTATGGTCTGTAAAAGCAAGCCAAGAAACCGAAGCGTATTCACTGGGTCTTCCTAGCGTGGGAGAAGGGGACTGGGCAGAGGAAGAGGAGAAGTGAAGAGTGATGGCTTTACGAGCCCAGCGTTTATCTTCAGTTTTCACCAGGAAGTGGTCCAAAGCATGTTCAGTACCCCTTGAAAATGAAACCAGGTGCATTTTCTTTGTTGAGGCGAGAACGTATTAGCGACTATCAAACCTTCCTGCTCACAAAAGTGCAGTAATTTCTCTCCCCCTTTGGTTCTACGCGAGTCACCATAAGGTCCCAACACGTGTGTCCAGTCCTTATCCTTACTAGGACCTACCTCTCCATTGAAGTCTCCACCTAAGATTGGTTTGAATCGAGTTGAAGCTTTGTCCAAAAGGGAACCCCCTGTCAATTAAGGGTTGGGGCTGTGCAACCATTTTGTAGTGAAGAAACGGCCTGCATAGCCTCAAGCTCTACTAAATGGATGTGCATGCATGATCGAATTTCACTACTAAATGTGGGCCCCTGGTTCAGCTGAAGCGCAAAATTTGGATATATATTTTCAGAGTGTCTTAAGACGCCAACATGACTCGACCAAACACCCTGTTCCATTTAGTAGAGGTACTCATTTGAGCACAAGTTGCGGGACCATGCGGGACCAACATCACTCGACCAAAACCCCAAAGCCATTTAGTAGAGAAATACACGGGGTCCATTTAGTAGAGAAAACAACATGAAACACATATGACTGATCCCATGACCATCCATTTAGATTTGGCATCGCCCCCAAAAAAGGCAACAAAAGAACCCAAGCACGAAAGGCAGCACCCGACGAGCAAGAAACACCCAAGCGAGGGATTTGGCCGCCCCCAAAAAAGGCAAAAAAAGAACCCAAACACGAAAGGCAGCACCCGACGAGCAAGAAACACCCAAGCGAGGGATTTGGCATCGCCCCCAAAAAAGGCAACAAAAGAACCCAAGCACGAAAGGCAGCACCCGACGAGCAAGAAACACCCAAGCGAGGGATTTGGCATCGCCCCCCAAAAAACGCAAAAAAAAACAAACACGAAAGGCAGCACCCGACGAGCAAGAAACACCCAAGCGAGGGATTTGGCATCGCCCCCAAAAAAGGCAAGGCAGCACTTGGCTAGACGGGGAAATCTTGACAGATTTTGGACATTTTGGGACTACAAAATGGTGTTCCATAGCAACAAGAACAAACAATTCTAGATAGACTGATCCCATGACCATCCATTTAGTAAGCACCCGACGAGCAAGAAACACCCAAGCGAGGGATTTGGCATCGCCCCCAAAAAAGGCCAAAAAAGAACCCCCACGCGAAAGGCAGCACCCGACGAGCAAGAAACACCCAAGCGAGGGATTTGGCATCGCCCCCCAAAAAAGGCAACAAAAGAACCCAAGCACGAAAGGCAGCACCCGACGAGCAAGAAACACCCAAGCGAGGGATTTGGCATCGCCCCCCAAAAAACGCAAAAAACAACAAACACGAAAGGCAGCACCCGACGAGCAAGAAACACCCAAGCGAGGGATTTGGCATCGCCCCCAAAAAAGGCAAGGCAGCACTTGGCTAGACAGGGGAAATCTTGATAGAATTTGGACATTTTGGGACTACAAAATGGCGTTGCATAGCGCGTAAGGGATTATAGGGCACACAAGGATGCAACAGGGCTTTGTTTGAAACAGTTCTAGATAGACTGATCCCATGACCATCCATTTAGTAGAGGCAGCACTTGGCTAGACTGGAGGCGGCATGGCAGGATACCGCAAGGATGCTATCTTTGTCCAACTTCTGTTGTTTCATATCGCGGTATACCCGATCATGTTGATTTACTTCAACCCAGGAATATCTTTGATATTCATTGGCATTCTAGAATTTATATTTATTTTTCAAGCTTCTTATTTTTTTGAGCATCTATTATCATATACTATCTGGATTTACGTGATTCATCCTGATGGACATGGATTGGCCAAACGACTATCGGGGGCAACGGAATGGGAATCTCTACTAAATGGTTTTTCAGTTTTGTCTCGTGTCATTGTGACCGTTTTATGAACTCTACTTCGCAACCTCTACTAAATGGTTCCTGTGATTTTGCAACATTTTTTTGACATCTCTACTAAATGGTTTTACCCAAAAAACAACATTTGACATCATATGATTAACATATCATTTTTACCTCACTACTAAATGTGGATCATGGGTCTAGAGATGTTTACTTGATTTTTTTTTTGAAAAATCATGATTCTCTACTAAATGGTTTCTGGAAATTTCACACTAAATTTTTGGTTCACTTTCCGGGACCTAGGTCATAGCATTTAGTAGTGGAAATTGGCAGGAGGATCAAAAGGGAACTTAACTGTTCGCGGAAATTATCGCGATGAGCCAGCGAGGAACGACCAGTAAGAGGAGCGTAAACAGGGATAAGGAGCATACCAGGGCGCCAGCCTCTACCAGGGATAGAGACTCCCAGCATACGATCTCGAATATCTTCCCCCTTGGCTCTATATAGTAAGGCACCCCGTTGTCGCCATTGTGCAGCTAGATACGGGTCAAGTGCGACTCTCGCTTTACCAAAATGGATAAGGACCCAGGTGGCTCCTCCCACCAGTAGTTCCGAACAACCATCGTTTCGAAATTTTAAGTCGGTAAGCAATGCGACGTTCCATTTTCTTTCAGCAATGAGTTTGGTAATTGCCTGAATTTTCCCTGAGTAATCCTTCCCATAAGGAGCACCCATACCCCTCGTATTCCAGCTACCCACTCGAATGCACCCCTTCTTAGTGGTATTTAAAACACTCGCGCGGCTGATGGCCAATCTACGTTTATGTCTTTGTCGCTTCTTAAAGGCAGTACATCTGTGTAGACGTTTAGCTTCGTTTCGTTTTTGACATCGTGACAACGAAATTGCAGATTGATTGAAGGTCCGTTTCACAGGAACACGTTTGCATTTGAGTGTCCGTTTGACGTTTTGCATCTGTCTGGCCATATTGATAAGTCGTAGAAGTTCAAACAAATCGGATTCGTGATGGATTACTGCATCAAATTGAACCCCAAAAGAACTCTGATCTAGCAAAAAGGATGTCACTTCGTCTTCGCTAGCATTTTTCCATTCAGAACCATATTCACTGTAAAAGGAGGTCAGAAAGCCAGCGAACAAAGGTTTGTCTTCCGCCATGGAAGCTTATCCATCTACCCAGGTCTCGGAATCGATTTTGCGTTGCAGACTTGTCTTCTGTGATTGCATCGGAAAAGGAAGGCGTTTGGGGGGAGGGTACGGGGGTCGAGGGACCAGACGATGAGAAACTCACGAAGGGCAAAGAGGCACCGAGCCGATATGCACTTTCCGCATTACTGTTATCAGACGACGTTGAGGTTTTACGGATCTCCCACCTCACAAGAAACCAAATTATAATCCCCCTCACTATGGTCAGAAGCAAGGGGGTGCTCCAGTGACACGGCCGAGGAGGGCAGGAGCCGGAGCTCCCCACAGCCCCCCCCTTCCTTAGCCACTTGAGTTGGTGACTGCCGTTCCGAAGGGAAGCAGTGTTTAAAAAAGTAAAAAAGGGTACACCCTCTGATGAGGGAATGGCTTGGCCTGGCGTATTTCCCACCTCAGTAAGACCAACCAATAGCCAGTTGTCCCCAGTCCTGCCTATCGAGGAGGCATGTCACCACGTGGGCCGGATTTGGCACGTCGTCGTCGTTCAAGCCGGCTGAAGGCGAGAGATAACCAGGGAATTTGGTTGGTTGGTTGGTTGGTTGGTTGGTTGGTTGTCAGGCGTTTGAGTTGGCCGCCTGGCCAGTGAAAAACTCAGTCCAACACCAAGGTCAAATTGAACTAAGTGGCCCGCCTTCCGCTCTGCCAAACGAGTCAAAATAGTCTTCGTCCAACGGCTTCAGCCATCGTAGTGCGAGAGTGAAACTACCAATCATGAACATGTGTGGTGTCGGCATGAGTCTCCATTTGGTGCCCTTCCGCTAGGTGGTGGCTATGTGCTCCTCTTAACTCACCGTTAAGTGGAATTGACGACTGGTGAGGGAAATGAAAATTACCAAAAGGACTAGTGACTAGTGCTGAGCATGTTGCGTGTTGTGCTTGGCCGATCATGGCCTAACGTGCAAAAAGTCTTGAGTGAAACTCAGGTGAAACAGCAAGCGGTAGTGCGCTAGTTGTTGCCGCCTTGGCGGCCACGACCCTTCCCCTTGGGTCCTTTTCCTTTTTCCTCTTTGCCCTTACCCTTTCCTTTTCGACGTTCCATCTCGGTTTGGGTTCTGTTGACAAACAGGTTTGTCACTGCTTCTGTGCCTTGCTCTCTGTTGTCTTTTTGCACTTGTGCTAACGCTGTCCCGATTTGCCCTCGCAAGCATTCCTGAATCAGAAGTGCCGAGTTTCCGATGTGCAGCTGTAACACAAAGTGCCCTGGCTTCCTGTTCCAAGTCTTAGTACCTTCATCTCTGGTAGAACGTGCCTGTTTGGTGTTACGAACTTGACTGCCTGGGTCAGGGCGTCACTTAGTTTCCACCATTTTCGGACCAAGCCTATATCCAGTGCCGCTGTCGCGGCTGTCAGTTGTTGCCATTCTTCTGGTGTTAGGGTAGGCAGCGGGGACGGAAGTTTCATCAGCTGTTAGCACGGCTTCTGCCACGTCCTTACTCAAGGTTCTGAAGTTGCGGGGCTCGGTTGCTGTCTTGTACAGTTCTTCTATTTTGGCACTGTTTTCAACTACCAGCAACGTGCACTTGTCCAGTGCATCCAGCCTACTGCGTGGTCCAGCCTGGTCTTGTGCTGTTTTTTCTGCGATTTCCCTGAACTTTTGTACCTCCTCGTCTTCCAGAGCCTCGATTTTCCGCTTGTTGTCATTTCTCCGACTTTCAGCCATTACGCTGTTCCGGCGCTGTAGCTGTAGAGCCTGAACCACCGCCTTTCTTGCCTTGACCCCTCCCAGGACCTTTACCTTTTGCCTTGCCCTTTCCTTTGCCCTTGGCCGCAGCGCCTTTACCTCCACCATCTCCCCCTGCGCCCTCACCTTGTTGTGCCTGACGCCTTTCAGCGCGTTTACGCTTCTCGCCCTTGGTCTTCGCCCGCCACGCCTGAACCTGGCCCCCATCTCCCGCCCGGTTCGCTTGGGCCAGCGCACCGTTCAGCGTGGCACTCATAGGTGCTGCTCCAACCGGTCCGCCACAGGTCCAAAGCGAAACACCAACGTGAAGCACTTTGGTTTCCTGACCTCCCAGTTTTCACCTCCCATCTCAGCCTCCAGCTTCGTGAGATTGCCCAGCCGAATTTCGTCCTGGAAGGCGAAAAGGGCATCCATGACGTCCCTTTTCTTTTTTCCGCGCGACATCTCCTCCCGTCCCGGTTGGCGGTCACTCACCCAGAGCCTCCAAAAGTCCTTAATTAAGGTAGCTACCTTAATTAAGTGATCTGGAGGTTTGCCAAAAATCATGGTTTTGGAGACCTTAATTAAGTGATCTGGAATTTTGGCCAGATCACTTAATTAAGGTCTCTGGATCTTTTGCTTTTTCATTGATATTTTTTTGATGAGACATTGATGAAATCATGTTTGCTGTATCTTGATCTCCTTTGAGGAGATCATTGGCTCAAACCAAGTTTTCTGTGCCACGCAACACACGTGCTTCTGGCTTGTTTTGTTTTGTAGTTCTGCAGGCTTGCTTAATTAAGCAATCTTCATTTAGCACATTCAGCAATCTGAAGTTTCTCTAGGTTGCTTAATTAAGCAATCTATAGAGTGCTTAATTAAGCAATCTAGATTTTGCTTAATTTTACAAAATTTGAAGGCAGTGGCTCGAACCAATTATATGCCATGGGTGGCAACCAGGTGCTTCTGGCTTGTTTCTTTTCGTTCATGCAGCCAGCAGCAGTTCTGCAAATTAAGAATGTGATTTTGTGGCATTATACTTTTTTATAAAAAGGTTTGCCTAGGCAGGGTTTGTATAATTAATAATGTCAAAGGGGAAAAATGAGGAATGTAGTAAAGTAAACCTAGAAGATTGCACTTATTTGGGGAGTAGTGGGGAGCAAAATGTTGTTTGGTAGAGATGGCCTGGCGACCCTTAATATAAGGTGGGTACCAATTTTTTTTCGGGCAAAAGGAACCATTGTAGAGACCACTTCTCTGATGAGTATGTCTGGTCACAAGCAACCATTATAGACATCACTCCTTCGAGGAGTGCTCATGAGTAGATAGTAGAAGTGAGTAGTGAGTAGCGAGTAGATAGCAGTTAGTGGCCAGTTAGAAGTCAAAAGTGGGTAAGTGAGCACGGGTAGTGAGTAGCCAGTAGTGAGTAATGGTAAGTTAGTAGGGTAGTGGGTAGTGACTAGTGGGTAGTGAGTAGTGGGTAGAGTCAGTAGTTTATTGTCACTAGTTAGTGGCGAATAGTGATCGTTTTATGGTTTCTAGTTGCTAGCCTGTATAGTGGTGAGGTAATACTCAGTATGTAGCAACTAGCAGTTAGTAATTATAATGGCCAAAGTGCGGAAGCAATCCTATGCTACCTGCACTCCTCTGAGGAGTTCTGTTATTAAAAAAACAATACATTGGAAAACGCAATTATTTTGTCCAAGTATGTATTAAAATTTGAGCCCCACCAAGTCTTTTAAGAGCAGGGCACAAAGCTGAAACTAAAAACTAAAATCTGTTCTTTTCAAACCTTGTTAAAAAAATAGTCAAGGCTGAACCCCACTAACAATTACAGTTTTTACTGCTGCCCAAGGTTGAAAATTGAATCTGTTTTTCAAACCTTACCAAAACATATAGCCAAGGTTGAGCCCCACTAACACTAACAAATATATGTTTCACTGCGGCCCAAGGTTGAAGATAGAATATGTTCTTTTCAAATCTTGTTTCAAAGTATTCAAGTTTGAGCCCCATTTAAAATTAAGATGTTTAGTGGGGCCCAAAAATAAAGATAACATATGTTCTTTTCAAACCAGGTGAAAGTATTCAAATTTGAGCCCAATCATTTTTTTCAGGGTTGGGCTCAAAGTTGAAGATAATATGATCTTTATAAAATTTGTCGAAGTATTCGAAACTTTGAGCGCCACTAACAACTGTATTTTGTAGTTGGGCCCAGAGTTGAAGAAAAAACATGTTCTCTTCAAAACTTGTTGAAAAGTATATATTCAAGTTTGAGCCCCACTAACAATTATAATTCTTAGTGGGGCCCAAGGTTGAATATAAAATATGTTCCTTTAAAATTTTGTCAAACATATTCTAGGTTGAAACCCACTAGAAATTCATATTTTTGGTGGGGCCCAAAGCTGAAGATAAAATATGTTCCTTTCAAATCTTGTCACAAAGTATTCAAGTTTGAACCCCAGAAAAAATCATAGTTTTCAGTGAGGCCCAAAGTTGAAGGTAAACTGTGACAGTATTCAAACTTGAACCCCACCAAGTTTTTTTCAGGGTGGGGCCAAAGTTGAGGAGAATATATATGCATATATATGCGCTTTTCACATCCTGTCGAAATATTCAGACTCGAGCACTACTAAGAATTGTAATTTTCAGTTGGGCACGTAGCTGAAGGTTTTTGCAGGTGGCCCTTTTTCCCTTTCCTTAGGTGATCAAAGGGGGTCATTGCAAGGCATTGCACTAAGAGGATTGCCATAGCTGCAAATTGTACTTGAACAAAGGGAAACTACATTAGCTTGAAATTACCACCCAGCAAGATTGGGCCTTGGAACATCTCGAGCCAAGGTCATAAACCACGAGATTATTACGTGGTAGAATTAGTAGGTGTTAAAAAATGTTATTTTTTCAATTTTTTTAACATTTTTTAACACAAGGTTTATATATATATATCAATTTAAAACCATATTGTTTTACTTGTTAAAAAAATGTTAAAAAATGTTAAAATTTTAACATTTTTTAACACCTACTAATTCTACCACATAATAATCTCATGGTTTATGACCTTGGCTCGAGATGTTCCAAGGCCCAATCTTGCTGGGTGGTAATTTCAAGCTAATGTAGTTTCCCTTTGTTCAAATACAATTTGCAGCTATGGCAATCCTCTTAGTGCAATGCCTTGCAATGCCTTCTTCATGTATTTGGAAGATTTTTTCAAGGTGCCCTTTTCTGACCCCCTTTGATCGGCACCTGCAAAAACCTGCAACAAAACAAAGAAACAAAAACAAAGGCTACAATGCAAACAACACCTCAACACATTTACCACCTTTAGAGCTCATGCCTCACAATGCCTTTTTGATGTATTTGGAACATTTTTTCAAGGTGCCCTCTTCTGACCGCTTTCATAACCAAAACAAAGAAAAACGGGCACCTGCAAAAACCTGCAACAAAATAAAGAAACAAAAACAAAAGGCTACAATGCAAACATCACTTCAACATTTACCACCTTTAGAGCTCATGCCTTGCAATGCCTTCTTCATGTATTTGGAGCATTTGCTCAAGGTGCCCTTTTCTGACCCCCTTTGATCACCTAAGCAAAGGAAAAAGGGGCACCTGCAAAAACCTGCAACAAAACAAAGAAACAAAAACAAAGGCTACAATGCAAACAACACCTCAACACATTTACCACCTTTAGAGCTCATGCCTCGCAATGCCTTCTTGATGTATTTGGAACATTTTTTCAAGGTGCCCTCTTCTGACCCCTTTCATCACCTCAGGAAAGGAAACAAGAGCACCTCTCAAAAATGAACCAAAACGAAGAAATGTTCCTGGAAAGTAATGTAGTTTTAATTTTCGCCCTAAGCCTAAAAAAGCTCGGTGGGGCTCAATTTTGATTCCTTTTCAGCAAAATTTGGAAACATGTTTATTCTTCAACTTTGGGTCACCAAAATATTACATTTTTTTAGTGGAACTGAAACTTGAATCTTGTCGACAAGATTTGAAGAGAACATGTTTGATCTTCATTTTTTGGCCCAACTAAAAATTAGTGGGGCTGAAACTTGACTACTTCGCATAATTTGAAAGAAACATATATTATCTTCAACTTTGGGCCCCACCCTGGAAAATCAAATATGGGGGTGAAGTTTGGATACTTTCACCAAATTTGAACAGGACATAGTTTATCTTCAACTTTGGGCCCCACTGAAAATTAAGATTTTTGCAGGGGTTCAAACTGGAATACTTTGTGTCAAGGTTTGAAAGGAAACCAATTTATCTTCAGTTTTGGGTCCCACTAAAAATTGTAGTTCTTGGTGGGGCCCAAATTGATAATTTTTGGTGGGGCTCAAAGTTGAATATTCCGACACGATTTGAAAAGAACAGGTTCTAGTTTCAGCTTTGGCACCCATGTGTTTTTCATGGCGAGGATCGAATTTGAATACTTGGACAAGATACTTTCAGTTTCCAATTTACTTTGTTATCAACAACACTCCTCTGTGGAGTGCAGGTACAATACGTTTTGTTTCTGCACTTGGGCCATTGTAATTATTAATTACCAACTACTGCCTACTGAATATCACCTACTAACCAGCAATCACAACTATACTAGCAAGTAACTAGAAACTAGTATATAAGTATTCACTATTCACTAGTAAGGAATATGTCATCTGAAGGGGGCCTAGGCCTATTTTGTTTAAGGTACTTGAGATTGTTTTTATATATCATATTTTGGGGGTGGGCATGGCTTACAACATGAATGCTTCCACAAAAACATTTTGAACAAAAAAAGTAAAAGTCTCAGGAGCATTGACAATGTTTGGAACAGGGTATGTTGCACACAATCGTTTTTGTACATTCCATTTTCCGTGTTCTTTCCAAATACCTTTGGTTGCATTCCAAATACCTTTGGTTGCAAGCTGATTTTTCTTCAAAGTGAAAAGGAGGCGAGATTGGAACAGTTTCCAACTAGAAATTCTTGAAAAGAGGTAGCTAATCAAAATTCAAAAAGTCATATTTTAACATTGAATTTTAAACTAGAAAAATAACACTAAAACCTAGATTGCTTAATCAAGCAATCCAAAATTGTTCCTCCTAGATTGCTTAAATAGGATTGCTTAATTAAGCCATCTTCTTAATTAAGCAACCTAGGAAGTTCTTGTATTGCCTACTTCTTTGCAAAAAGAAAAATCCAAAGGACAGCAAAGAGAAAAACATATGACAATTTTGACACAAACTTAGCCATTATACCACTATAACAGCACCAAAGCCAGATCACTTAATTAAGGTCTCCAGAAGTTCCTCCAATAGAACTTAATTAAGAAAATCCTGGAGACCTTAATTAAGGTATCTCCTTAATTAAGGACTTTTGGAGGCTCTGGGCATGCAGGGGCCATTCCAGACCCAAGGCCTTGGTTACCTCCTCCAGCCATTTGTCCCCCTCACCCGCCGCAGCCGCGTGGGGCGTGGCCCCGTCACCCAGGCCTGTCCAAACCTCCTCCAGTGCAACACTATTGATTGTGAACACCCGTTGCTGCGCGTAGATCCTGTCCACCCGTTCCTCTTGGCGGAAGCTACGTGCTGTTAGCCATCCCACTGATCCGTCACCCTTTGGTCCATCGGGGCATTGTCCACCTCGGCCATGCCTGGAGGGTATGAGTGAAACCTGATAGCGCTACGAATACTATGATCCGAAAGGCAGCCACATACAACCTGATGAGAAGACTGGCGTGTAGCCGTCTGGAAAGACCTCCCATTGGGAGTCTATGAGAAGTCATAAGACAGGCACATGGCCGTCCTGACTCTCAAACACCTGACGCCTTACAACAACCTTCCCTACCTCTGTGCCTTCCCCAAATTCACATATAAATTTGGACTTGACCCTTTTCTGGTTGGTTGAGAATGAAACCGGAGTTAAACTCTACACTTCTTTCATGCATTCGGCAGGAATCATAAGTTGCATAGACCCTACCACATCGGTCACATGTTCTGTTAGCTAGTTCAGACCCCTTACAACGTGCCACAATGAGCAGGCAAGTTCCGCACAATTGTTTGTAGCACAAGCAATGCATACATACATCAAGGCGACCTGCTTCATATGCTGTGACTAATCATAAAAACTTTTTATTACTGCGAAAGGTACAGCATGTTGAGCTGCACCCGCAACAGCTGCATGATCAGCTGCATCATTGCCATCTTTATCCTGCTGAGTAAAAAGTCCCTGATCAACTTGGGCTTGAGATACATGACCCTTTACCCAAGTCGCTTGAACTGGTGAGGTGCGAAGCTCAAGAAGATTTTTGACTTGCTTCCACAGATCAATGTGCTCTCCATCGGCAGGCAAGACAGCACCATTGATTAGTTGGTTGAGAAAAATCAACTGCATACTTATATAGAATCGCTGCGTATATGCAAAGCACTATTTTCAATGGCAAGTGCAGCAAGCACGGCACGAACTTCTGCTCGTTGAGCTGTTTGCTCTGGCCCTGCCAGAAGGGTGGATATGCTACGTGAATGGGTACGACTTGGTTCATACACAACACCGTAGCCGGCACGTCGTAAGTAAGGGTTGTCTTGACATTGACAAGAGCCATCCGTCCAAACAACCACATACTGTTCTGAAATAGTTTCTTTTTGCAAATCGAGTGATGAAAGTGGTTGTGGTATTTCCAGTTCATCAAGAATGTCCAGGTCGTTTTGCAATTGACTGATGGTTTCAGAAAGTAGTGGTAAGGCATGGTAAGGCACATATGCGTTCACACGGTTGGGCACACCGAAGCCAGTCCAAAGAAACTTCAGGAAATTTCAGGCGAATATTGTGCCAGGCAACACAGTGAATGAAAATATGTTCAACATCTTCATCAGCTTGACCGCAAAAAGGACAAATTGGGTTACTGATTTTCCCAGCTTTGCAAAATTGCTTGGCCGAGCGAAAACCTCCAGAGAGGATGGCTGAATATGTGCCTTTTTGGTACTCATTGCACTGGCGAAGGACACCACGTATGGTGTGGCGATCCACAATTCGATTGCCAACCCCTTTTAAGTCTTGTCGCTTGTTGGCAACGCTCAAATTGGCAGATCGCATTGCTTCACGAATTTGGTGCTGAAAATATGCACGGGAATGCCGTAACCAAAACAAAGGTTGCGCAGAAGGACGAGTGAAATAATCGAAATGGGTCCATGTCCAATTCAGAATTGTCAACGCTTTTTTCTGAGGGTTGAAACAGGTCCAAATGAACTTTTTGTAGATTGCATTCCCCAAAGCTTACGAAGGGAGGGAAGCAAATCTGGTCTTCGAAGGGACATTCTGCGAAACTGATTAATACAAGTGTATGCCCATGCTGAAGCGGGATCAACTCTATGAATTGGATGAAGTAAACTTAGTATGACTTCAATGGAACGACAACCCCTTTCGCCAAATTGCACGTGCAATGGCACTTCGTAGTTTACCCAAGTCGGCCAGACTTGGGGCTGAGATTTCACTGGCGAATAGCACTTTAGGCAAAACTTTAGTGGCGCAAATCTGCCCTCGTTCTGTGCCAGACACAGGTAACGAGGTGAAATATGATCAGAGATCCGAATGGCCTCGTGAATTCTTTGGGCATAATGCGACACGATTCTAGCGTGGGAAGTGCACTGTCGCGCTCCCAAGCTGGTAACATCCAGCATTACATTTAACGTATGCCCATCAAAACGAATACGTCGGAGTGCTGCTCTGTCACGAGTCGTGGTAGCCCAAGCCATTGTTTTGGACATGGCAAGCTCTTGTTTTGTAATCTTGGCAAGCTCACCAGTGAGGTGACAGGCTTTTTTAGCTGTGTCGATATCATGTGGTAGAATCATAGAATCGTCAGCAAAAACTTGGGGAACCGACTCCATTTCAGCCACTATTGTGCGAGCCCACGTTCCCATCATGAGATTTAGAAAGCATACGCTAAGAGGGCAACCCTGGAGTATGCCACAGCTTGAGACAAAAGTGTCTGAAAGACCACCTGGAATGCAAAAATATCTTTTCAAATTGGAATACAAATGTTTCATGAGCTTCAGAAGTTTAGGCAAAATCCCATCTGTTCAGCGATTTTGAATAAGATACAGCGAGGTAGCAAGTCAAATGCTTTTTTGTAATCGAAATGAATTCCAATTAAGGCAGTGCCATTACAACGAGCATCCTCAATGCGTAATGAAATGTCGTAAAACACATCATCAGTAGAATGACCAGTACGGAAACCATGTTGAGACTCGTGAAGAAAGTGTTCTTGCCATGCAATAACATCCTGAAGACGGTAAGCACAGAATAGTCTGTAGAGCACACTCATAATACCTAAAGGTCTATGGCCAAGGGGGGAGGTATCCCCAGCTGTTTTTGGGATAAGTGCATAGAAGCCATAAAGCATAGCAACTGGCCATTCAGTGGAATTTTCGATGAGTGTAAATAATTCAGGGAGCAGAGCGAAAATGGGATCAGGGAGATTCTTTAAATCCGCAACTGCCCAAAAATCAGGCCCACTGGCAGACCTCAGTTTCATGCGATTCAAGGTTTGTCTTAAACCTTTGGTAGTGAAGGGACGAAGTGTCATCTCAGATCGTTCCGGTATGTAAGGACTATATCGTTGGTGGAATGCATCCCAAGATGGTTCAGGTTCATTGGCATATTAATCAAAAATTGGCACCTAAGCATCAGAGAGCAGTTTGGAAAATTCTTTGAAGTTGCCTGTGAGACCTCCATCCGGCTTCTGAAAAACGTAAGTGGTCGACACTGGTTTTGGATCAATCTTATTATATACAGTAGCAGGCGCCACGTTCCAGTTACTCCTGAGCTTATCTTGTGCTGCACGAACTCTGCAGGCGCAACATCGGAACCTCCAAGCTATGATCTGCAAACATTTTTTCCAAAGCATGCTTGACCACAGACTTACTCCAGAAACGAAACTTGTTGGATTGGTCATTCTCCGCATCATCAGCCTCATTTTGTCTAGCTTCAAGTACTGTACTGATTGCTGATCTGGTGGTTTTTGTTCTCAAATTATTTGATCTCAGAAGTTTGCCTGTTTTGGCAAGACGTTCCCCCTCATCCTCCTGGATGAAGGCTTCAAACATTTTTTGGGACAGGGCTTCAACCCGGGACGCATGTTGCAAAGCAAATTTCGACACCATGGGAGCGTCAGATTTTTGAGCCAAGGATGGACGCTGGCGGCCGCAGCACTTGCCACCGCACCATGTGAAAAAAAATGCGAGTTGGGAATCAAACTGCCGACCTCCAAGAGTCACGTTTGTTGCATCGCGTTTTTTGTGTGGTTGGCGTCTTGCCGCTCTCAAGTTATTCTAAATTCCCCCGGAAAATGACTGGGCTTGTGTGTCATCAAAATTTATGTGCCACAGATGTGAATTAATTCGATATGAAAAATACTTACCTCTATAACTCACGTATATCCCCTACTTTACCCATATATGATAATCTATATACGCACCACGCAAATAATATCAAACATAAAAGGCTGTAGAAGGAGTGTGGCAGGCACAGCGCTTTTTTTTTCCGAAGGCAAGGGGCCGTAAGATGCCGTAAGCCCCTTATAGTCTGGTTGAATGAATTGGGCACATATGAGCACCTTTGAGCGCAAACATGCACTATGTGGAGGGCTAAGTTCGTGCAAAACACAGCATTGGCCTTTAAAAAACACACATTGCCCAAGTTCTTGCAGGAAGAGCAAAAATTAAGATAACAATGGGGTCAGTAAGAGACATTCCGAAAACAAGCAGCACTGAGACCTTCTTGGATGCTTGTAAGAACACTTGCATGCGTGACATGGGTACCTGAGGCCAAGGAGCCCTGACAATTTTTTGCCATTCGTCTGCTGGCTGCGTTAAAGAAGTGAGCAATTTGGGCTGCATTTGAACTGGTCTGTGAAAACCCGGCATTGCTAATGGGCAATGCGTGGCAGCATGGAAATCCAACGCTAACTCCAACCAGGAGACTTCGACATCTTCAGCTTGTTCAGCTGGTCATTGCAGATAACTCCAATACCAATGTAGTGGCGCAAATGTGTCAGCTCCAAACAGCAATTTGGAACCAGTTTTGTATACACGCCAGTTTGAGGGTACAGTGCCTTTGAAAAATTGTCGAGAAAATCGGTGTTGCTGATTGTACGACCAAGGGTATAATTAGGAAAAAGAAATTCCCGGCTTCCTTCCATGGTGGGCGGAGGTACTTGGTGTTCCACTGACTGAGAGTTATAGAAACTCTCTAAATTACTTGGTTTATCTTGTTAAATGAGTTTTTCACGCTCACGTAAAATAGATAACATCATCATTTGAACTTTGGGAACAAGACGATTGACAAGGGCAGTGGTAAAAGGACCCATGTGTAAGAGACTTTGGGGAAAGAGCCCACATTCTCGCATGCAAGGCGGCAGCTGGGGAAGAACATCGGCAAATTCGGACACAACATTTTGACGAAAAGGTTGCCATTTGGCGCAAGACCAAAACAAATGTTCAACTGTTTCGTCTTCCCGGGACTCACACCAGGGGCACTGTGCAGTTTGGGCACAGTTAGCTTTGAATCGTTGTTGCTCCGTGTGAACGGCACCTGAAAGTATATTGCGCAATGATGTCAAGTCAAAGGATGAAAGCTTTCGCCTTCGTTTGGAATGTCTTTCTTGAATAAGGATTACGTTGCTTTCATACATAAGTAATGATGTCTTGCCTGGCACAGAAGGCGGTGTTGGTTCGAAGCACAAAATTGCGAAGGCAATCTCTGAGTAAATGCCGAAACTTCTGCACGTTGGCATCAAGTAAGTTATATAAAGGAAATCACTTCCTGAGATTGAAAAACAAAGGCAGAAACCCGGGTAACATTCAATTGGTCGATGATGCTTTGCACCACAGCTAGTGGACCCAATGTGATCTGATTTCCAAACATGTCGAAACGAACCAAAAGTCTGAGGTCCTCTCGTCGTTGCAGCAAGCGAGAAAGCAAAGTAAGCACATTATACATAACTGCTGCCACTGGATGCAACCGGTGCACCGGCAAAATGTGTGTGGCCGTGGTGGCCCAGCAGCGAAGCCAAGTTTTGCCTTTCCACAAGAGATAAACAACAGCACCGCGTAGTGTTTCGTATAACCCTTTAGTGAGAAGTACTTGTTCACACCCAAAAATTGCCGCTGGAAAAATGGCAGCAGCCATTTTTACACGGTGGGCAAATCGCAGTGGAGCGAACCGAATCTTGTGAGGTTTTTCAATGGCTGCTGCAACTCTCTGATTTCGTTGCGACAGATCCGCTCCACCCATGCTGGTCACGACAGATCCAACGAGGACAAAGGATTTTTTGCACTTGAGA